TAGACAGTAACTCAGTGAGGCCTAAAGCCTGAGCCTATCCAGAATGGAAATAACCCATTTTGACATCATGTAGATAAATAAGCATTGAAAAGTAAACCAAAGAACCATAGTATATTCTACCTGTAACTTTTTGTAAACCATGTTTTATGGATAACTTCAGTTTTACCAAAAGGCTGAAATATTTCAATATTTTGAAAACATCATCCTAACTTTGAGTTGACAAGAGGTAACCTAACCAACTACCATTATGTTTGGTACTAAGAAATATACCTTTCAATAAAATTATTGAAATGCAATCCTTCACTGGGTATTTTGTTTCTTTTCCGATTTAATTATTTTAGCAATGTGATAAAGTGATAAAAGGTTATGTCAGTATATTTAAATTTTACATTAACATGCATGAGAGCAGAATAAAACCTTTTTAATAATTTATTACCTAATTGACCCTTTACTTTCTAATTTTTTTTAATTAGACACAAAGTAAGTATGTGTACTGTGCATTAAAAAGTTGTGTTCATGCATGATTAATCACTTCTGTTACTGAGACTGACTACTGCTATAATTGTTATCCTACAAAGCTACCCTTAGATTCTGCCTACTGGAAGTTTTGTGCAAACCCTCTTCCCTACTTAAATAGCATTTCAGCAGGGTGGTTGGTAATAACAGGCTGCTTGGATAGTCTGCTTGGATCACATGGTAATTATTACTGAACAAAAACCAAAATATGGTCCTATTCATGTTTAATTAAAACTAACAAGATACAAAGTCATTGCAAGGAATTCCTGACTATAATAAAACTGTTCTGCACTTCACTCCTACTAGTGAATATTGAAGTACTGTTTTCATAGTGTTACTTTTTAAAAAGGCTCCTGAATCTTATGTGTATTTCCAATTATGAGGCATTATCAAAAAAGTGTGTTCCTGATGTAACATTTGTAGCTGGCAATGATAGTTTATATTGTCAGGCATTATTCCCAGATGTTCTGTGTGAATCATCTCCTGTAAGTCTCTAAACTAAATGAGGTGATCTCAACTGACAAATGAAGCAGAGAGACAGAGAAGCAAATGATTTGCCCCAGGTCTTACGTATGTTTTTCTTGGCGATGAAATTCCAATCCAGGCAGCCAGCAAGCAGCCCTTCTCTTTGTACTCTCCACATTATCCACCAAAACAGGATTAACTGCGTTCATGTGAGATTGTATAATTTCCAATCAGTACTATGTTCTGGCCACAATAAGTCTGGTGTTTTATAGTCACGGTAGGATAATACTCTGAGCATTTTCTATTTACTGGTAGAATAACATTTGTAAAATACGGCACTGCTTACAAATTGCTAATGTACAACATAATTTTCCATAAGCCAAAACCAGCAAATATATATTGATAGGATGAATTTGACATGGGGCCAGTTTTTATACTAATTCAACAAAGTAGAGTTCGGAGGGGGAACAAAATTACCAAGTATAGAGAAGGACATTACGTAGTGATAAAGCAGTCCGTTCTCCAGGGTGACGGGACAATCCGACATGCACAGCAAGCACAGAATATCAGAACTTAAAAATACTGACAGCAGGGGCTGGGGATTTAGCTCAGCGGCAAAAGCGCCTGCCTGGCAAGCGCAAGGTCATGAGTTCGGTTCCCGGTACCGGAGAAAAACCAAAAAAAAAAAAAAAAAAAATACAGCAGAATTGGAAAGCACTGACAGAAGAAACGGAAATCTTCAGTTAAAGTTGTATAACTGTATCACTTCTCATTAAAATATACAAATTATTACAGTACCAGGAAAGAACTGAATAACAACTAAATTTAGTTGACTTAAAACAATGTCCTAAAGCAGCAAACTAAGCATTCTTTCCAAGTACACATGCAACATTCATCCGTATAAACCATATCTTGGGTCTTAAAACTTAAAAAATTTGAAAAGTGAAATATAAAATATATCCTTTGAACATAAAAATAGAAAATAACAAAAAGGAATATCTGGCTAGGCATGGTGGCACACACCTATAATCCCAGCACTCGGGAGGCTGAGGCAGGAGGATCGTTGCAAGTTCGAGACCAGCCTGGGCTACATAGTGAGCTCAAGGCCAGCCTGAGCTGCATAGCGAGACCCTGTCTCAAAAAGACAAAAAAAAAAGGAATATCTAACCATCTGGATTTTAAAATTCCACATAATTTTATGGATCTAAGCAGTCTCAAGGAATTACAGAATATTGTAAACTGAGTGAAAATGAAAATAACACAATGTGTGAAATAAAACTAAATCAGTACTCAGAGTAAACTATGATATCAATTGCTTTTATTAAATAAGAAAAAAGACCAAGTCAAAAAGCTTCTACTGGGGCTTGGGATTTAGCTCAGCGGCAAAAGCGACTGCCTGGCAAGCACAAGGTCGTGAGTTTGGTTCCTGGTACCGGAAAAAAACCAAAAAAAAAAAAAAAAAAAAGCTTCTACTGTAAGATAGTAGGGAGGAGCAAAATATAAGCAAAATAAAACCCAAAGAAGCAGAAAGGACAATACAAGGGAGAGAAAAATCAAAGTAACAATAGGGGACAATGAACAAAACCAAAAATGATCTTTGAAAAGAGTAATAAAACTGCATTAGCAAGATTACCAAACAAAAGACAAATTACCAGTTCTAGGACTAAAAGAGGCCAGGCACAGTGGCACTCCCAGGGTTTGGGAAGTTGAGAATACCGAGTTTGAAGTCTGCCTAGGCTCCAAATAGCAAGTTTGAGGCCAGCCAGGACTGTCTTACATAGTGAGGCCCTGTCTCTCACACACATACACACAAAACCCAAACAAAACATTAGGAATGAAAGAGCCGAAACCACTAAAAACCTTGAAGACATTAAAAGGACACCAAGAAAATACCAGGAACAATTCTGTCCCCTAAGAGTTTGATGAAATGACTCAATTCCTGAAAGATAATTACCAAGCTTAACTAAAATTAAGTAGACAGCCTGAATAAATTCTATAATTTTAAAAATTGAATCCACTATTTATATCTACTGGTAAATTCAGAACACATTTAAAGAATAAACAAGGCTCTAGTGATTTCTTCCAGAAAGCAGAACAGTCGGTGATTTCATTTCATAAGGTCAGTATTAACATGATACCAAAGAAAGAGTACAAAAGAAAAAAAAAAAATTGAACAAACTATGTAGAAAAGCCAAGAAATCAAAATCGAAAAACAAAACTACCAGAACTAATTATGTAGAACAGCCAAGGAATCAGTAGCAAAAACCAAAACCAAACCAGAACTAATAATCACTGAATTTAGCAAGTTCACAGGATACAAGGTCAACAAACAAAAATCGAACATATTTGTATACACTAGCAAAGTGTAACTGGACACCCAAATTTGAAAAACAATACACTGACAATAGCTCCCTCCAAAAAATGAACACTTAGAATATATAAAATAAAAATAGCAAGGATTTATAATCTGAAAACTACACAAACACCTGATGATTGAAATCAGAGATATTAAATGTCTGGACTGTACGATTCACAAGATTTCATTAAACACCCTCACAGAACTTTCATACATGCAAACTAATTCTAAACTTTACATGTGAAGATAAAGAAATTAAAATGCCCAAAACAACTCTGAGAAAGAATAAAGTTGAATCTTGTTACCCAGTTTTTAAGACTTACTATGAAGGTATGATAATCACAACATTATAGTATTGGTCAAACAGTGGATACTAATGGAAAAGAAAGTCCAAAAATAGACTTAATAGATTAAATACAATTTTTCACAAAGGTCCAAGGGCAGTTCAATGTGACATGGATTGTCTTCTCAGCGTACAATTTCATTTTTAAATTCTTTTTTTTTTTTTTGAGACAAGGTCTCAGTATTCCAGGCTGGCCTTGAACTCACTATGTCCCTGAGGCTGGCCTCGAACTCATGGTGATTCTCCTGTCTCAGCCTCCCCAGTGCTAGGGTTACAGGGGTGCAATACCACACCTGGCTTTTTTCGTGTTTTTCATTGTTGTTCAGCAAACAATTTTGAAACAAATGGACAGCCATATGAAAAAAAAATGAACTCCATCTAAACTTTACAGCTTATACAAATTAAGATGGGTCCCATATTTAAATGTCAAAGTTATGAAATTTAAACAAAAATAAAAGAAAAAAATCCTTATTACCTGAGATTAAGAGTTCTTAGACACAAGAAACATGATCAAAATAAAGGGTGAATGTTTAGATTTTAAAATGTATTATATAAAAGATATAGTGCCATTAATTTCCCTCTGAATAATCCCTGTGCTCGGAACACGTATCATTCTTGCCACTTCTGGAAGCAGGAGGGGAAGTTCGCCTTCCTGAGTGTGTTTATGAGGTGCGATCAGAACTGCAGTAAAGGTTCCTGCCACCCAACAGAACGGCAGGCTTGTGAACACAGTCAGGTGCGTCCTCACCCGCCCTGTGACCAGGAACTGGCATATTATGACTTTTGGCTTTTCCCCAAAGTCAACATGACTGTGAGAAGTAAATGTGTGGAATTGATTCAAGACATTAAGGCCGCCATGACGGCACAGCTAAGATGCTCACTAAGGATCATTTCCACAACTGCTGCACAAAGTGGCAGAATGATGGGAGAAGTGTGTTCCCAAGCAAGATTATTAAGATTAATGGCAAATTGTCACTTAGTGTAATAAATTTTTAACATTATTCACTGTATTTTTCGGTCACACCTTACACACCATGAGTATGATCGACCAACAGCATGATGAATTAAACTTTATCAAGGTTAAAAATTTCAGGGCTTCAAAAGATGCCACACAGTAAAAATAACCTGCAAGAGAATTTACAATCCATATATCTAAAAAGGAACTTGTACTCCGTACATAAAGAATTCTTACTATTTAGTAAGACAACCCAATTCAAAAATGGGTACCAAAAAAAAAACACAGGTAAAAGGTTGGAATAAACATTTCTCCAAGGATAGACAAATGCTCAGTAAGCATAATAAAGTGCTTGACACTGAGTCTTCAGGAAAATACAATTTCATACTGACTAGAATGACTAAAATCAAACGTAAGAACAAACACGGGCAAGGATGCAAATAAACTGGAACCCTTGTACAATGCTGCTTTGAAAACAATGCAGTTCCTTAAATGATGACATAGACATTACCTAAAAATTCTATTTCTTGGTAACAAAATACATATGCACGTGAAAACTTGAATTTATAGCAGCACAGCCAGAAGACAGTAACAGCCCAAACAGCCATTAAGTTACAACTGGATTAACAAGTGTGACAGCCATAGAATGGAATACTACATAAAAATGCAGCTGGTATATGCTAGAATATGGATGAATCTCTAAAACATTAGAGATTCTCTAAAATCTCTAAAACATTAAGAGTCCAGTAACTGAAGATCAAATATTGTACCTGAATTGTCTAGGACAGTGAATTACATGTACCTGAAATGTCAAGGACAGTGGTTGCTTGATGGGGGGCGGAGGGGATGGATGTGAGGTGATACCTACAAGGTACAGATTTTTATTTTAGATGATGAAAATGTTCTAAAATTGACTCTGCTGGTGACTGAATATGGTGTACATGTAGAATCATATATTTTAAATTTGAGAAATGCAGCATATGAATTATGTTCCAATAAAAACTATTTTCTAAAATTACATAGGACTCGTGTTTTTGTGCATGCGTTATTGTTGTTTCTGCAGTACTGGGGATTGAACCCACCTAGCGCCTTCATACTGAGCTACAGCCCCAACCTCAACCCTTTTGTAAAGTTCTAAATTGCTCAGGATAGACTCAAATCTGTGATTCTCTTGCATCTACCTCCCAGAGTGCTAGGACCACGTCCGAGTGCTAGGATTACAGGTGTACGACACAGCACCATAGAGATGTTGTAGTTTTGATGGTACTGGAGATGGAACCTAGGGCCGTGAGTATGCTAGACAAAGTCTCCCACTAAGCTATACCCCAGCTTTTATGATTATTTTCTCATCTTGGCTTTTAAATACCATGATCCACTAAAGAAAACCTGGGTTATTTGGAAAAATGGCTGATTCCTGGGTTAACACAGGGAATATATAGTGAATCTTGTGTACACTTGGTCAGAGAAGAAACTGCTCAAATATTGATGAGAACACGTTGCAAGGACACAAACACCATCTAGAATGGTTTACCCCTATAGAATAATACACTAATAAATTTCATTAACACAGAAAACTAAGTGCCCCAAAATATCACTGAGTTGTTTTTACTTTGTTAAAATTTTTTCAACACTGTAACTCCTTGTGTGAACTAGTATACTTAGAGAGGTACACAATTTCTATTTAGAAGAGTTTATTGAATGTCATTCCTGCATCACATTTAGCAAAGAAAAACAATTTTTCCCTGATGGCATACTTTCATTTAATATTATATATACTGTTAAGGTTTTTTGTAGTAAAAATACGATTAAATATGAAATTAGTAAAATGCAGCATATAAAACTTCATGCTGAGCAAAAAGAAGTCCAAAAAGTTAATGGTATATCCACAGAATAGCTCTTGTAGTACGTTTCCTATCTAAATCATATTTAAATACAATTTTAGAACCATATTTAAATATTTTACAATTTGTTAACTGTAGGCATCCATAGCTTTCTTCTATTACTTAATCTGCTCCTTTGATTTAATTGGTAACATTTGTTAGGATCCACAGAATGCATTAAAAAAATAGCAATTATTTCTCAAGGTTTGAGAAATCCGGTCCACCTTTAGTGTAGTTTCCTGAGATTTCTGCTCCACTGAAGTCAAAACCAGGATTCTAAAAGATAAAAAAAAAAACAGAAAAAAATAATAAAATGTATAAAGAAAAAGAAATGCATGAATTGGCAACTGATAAAAAGTGAGATCTTAATGTCAAAAAATACATGAAAATATACCAAACTTCACTATAATCACCAAAATGAAGTTTAAAACTACAAAGTATGTTTTAACTTTAAGATTTAAAAATACTTAGGACATTAGTAAGTGTACTATAATGTTGGCAAGCCTATGGGGAAACATACTTCATTATCAATGTATAAATACAATTTAAAAAACTAACATCTTTCGAGAACTTACTATATGCCATGCAGGGTTTTATGAGCTGTACCTGTATCAACACATTTAACCCTTGAAATAACTCTATAAAATAAGCAGTATCTCCCGGCTTTACATAAGTCTTTTCAGGTTGGGTGTGGTAGGGAATACCTGTAATCCCAACACACAGGAGGTATGAGGATCACCTTGGGTCAAGTCCAGCCTGGGCTACCTAGTAAGTACAACACCAACCTACACTACAGGACATAGCAAGACCTTGTCTCAAAGAAAGTCTTTTCAATGGGCAATCTCAGTTATTTAACAAAGATTTATTGAACTCCTTCTGTCTTTAAGACATCATAAAAGGAATCCAAAGTTTAAGAAAGAAAACCAAAAGATCTTTGCTCTAGCAAAGTTTATATTATAGTAGGAAAATACAAATAATAAACTATAAATTACTCAGGGGTTATTAACTTTGCTGAAAAAATACAGGTAGGTAATGTTTCTGGAAACCAAATAGTCTCTGTCACAAATATTCAACTCTTTGTAACTGCTGTATGAAAGGTAATACATAAACTAATCAGCCAGGCTGGGTGTCATGGCGCACGCCTGTAATCCCAGCATTCAGAAGGCTGAGGCAGGAGGATGACTGTGAGTTTGAGGCCTGCCTGGGCTACAAAGTGAGCTCAAGGCCAGCCTGAGCTGCATAGTGAAACCCTGTCTCAAAAAGGCCAAAAAAAAAAAAAAAAAACTGAGCCAGCTGTGCCCTGGTAAAACTCTAGTTACAAAAACAGGCAGTGGGCTGAGTCTAGCATACAAGCCATAGTTTGCCAATGCCTGATCTAGTGTGTTGAAAGTTCAATTCCAGTCTGGTCAACTTAGCAAGACACTATCTCTGTCTCAAAATAAAAATTAAAAGGGCTGCACATGTAACTCAGGATGAAGCCTCTGGTTCATACCCTCCCCTTAACAGTGTTTTCCCATCAAAGGAACAAGGCAAGAATAGGGTAACATGTTTAAAAATCAGCAAATTTAATACATTAGTATGTTAAGACAACTTACAGAGTTCTGAGAAGTGGCATGATCTGACTTAGATTTTAATTTTAAAAGAACTTCTATAATTTGAGATCATATGGTAAACCGTAGATGCAAAGGAACCAGTTAGATTAGTGAAGTAACCCAAACAGGACATCTGAAGTGGTCTAGATCAGAATGGTATCAGAGTTTGTGGTGAGAGGTGGTCTAATTCTCAATTCAGCTGGAAGGTAGCACTAATACAACTTCCTAACAAATTGGACAGGGCATGAGACAGAGGCAGGAATCAAAGATGATCCCCTTTTTAATTGTTTGATCTGAGCAATTAGTTTCCATTAACTCAACTGAGAAGGTTAGAAGTAGAATAAATTGGGAAGGGAAATTTAGATTGCTTCAGTCGGCCATGTCAAGTTTTATATATTTCTTCCATAACCAAATGGATACTGAATAGGCAACTGAATACTCAGATCTAAAATTAAGTCTAATATATATAATATATATGTGTATATATGTATGTATACGTATATATGTATGTATACATATATATATATACACACATTTAAAAAGTAACATAATAATATAGATGGAAATTTTCCATTAAAATTTTCAAAGTGCTTTGATTTAGTAACTCCTTTCCTAGATACCTATCCTGGAACATAAATAGTTTCAGAGATGAAAGTACAACCTTTGTTTACAATACAGAAAAATGATAAATCAAAACCATATTAACGATAAACAGCTAAACAATCATGATACATGTAAACTACAGAACACTTTGAAGCCATTAAAAGAAAATGAGATTTTTTTGTCTGTACGTACTAGATGGGAAAAAAGATCCCAGGCATACTATTAAATGCAAAAGCAACAAGAGAAACAGTAAGTATACCGTGAGCCTCCATTTATGTTACAAATAAAACAAACAAAAAGGCGGATACATGAGATGAGAATGAGGCAGGCTTAGAATGGGGGGAATAATGGTGAAGGAATCTTTCACTTTCTCATGCTAGTAAGTTTTTTTTTTTTTTTTGGTCTTTTTGAGACAGGGTCTCACTATGCAGTTCAGGCTAGCTTGAGCTCACTCTGTAGCCCAGGCTGATCTCCAGCTCGCAATGATTCTCCTGCCTCAGCCTCCCGAGTGCTGACATTACAGGTGTGCGCCACCACGCCCAGCTAGTAAGTATTCTTTAAGCATTTACTATTCACGAAAGAGTCTGCTATTCATAAATTACTGATACACATTAAATAAACATAAATTTAAAATCACAGCAATACTGCGAGGCATGGTAGTGCACACCTGTATTCCCAGAACTCGAGAGTTCAGGGCCAGCCTGGGCTCTACAGTAAATTCAAGGCCAGTCAGAGCTACATACATGCTGAGACCCTGATCCCCCCAAAACAAAACAAAACAAACAAAAAATACACCAAAAACCAGGAGTACAAATAAATACCTCTCAAGAAAACTAAAGAAAAACAAAAAAATCAAACTATACATAGAAAGGTTATTTTCCTAAATATGCCTTCAAAAAACTCATGTAAAGAATGTTTACATTTTATGATGCATTTAAGTTTTATTTTCAAATATTATCCTATGATTTTTAAACATTTACACATATTCATATAATCACTTGACTTACTTCTTTCTGGAACCTTTCCAACGTAAGCTTTCTCTGCATTTGGTCCTGCACCCAAGGATCCGCAGCATATTCAGATTCTAGAAGAGAAGTCCAGCAGTTTGCCGCATCTCTCTTTGTCTTAGTGAGAACAATGCGGACCATTTTTCTATCCTCTAAAGAAAAAAATTATTAAAGCAATTAGAGTTCATCACTACATTTTGTACTCTTCAAAAGCCATTAGGTAATCTTGACATACAATTGTTTTCAACACATTTTTTTATCTTCCAAAGCTATAAAAGCAAAAGGACTTAATGGAAGAGATACTGTACTAAATTCCAACATAAATTAATTTTTACAAAGATTCGATGAATTATAATAGAGTACACTTACCCAAAGTCCATGTTCCCTCATCAGCTATTGTAGAATCAAAGAGTTTGCCCTGAAAAGATAAACACATAAAATCCTAAGAATTATAGCACTTTAGTAGGTTTTATAAGATTTCATGGCGAAGACTCGGCTCATCACACATCTTAAACCACTGCACCACACTGAGGTGCTCAACCTTGTTTCCTCAAATTGAGTAAAATGCATCTAAGTTACAAGACTTGAAATATTTAGTGACAAAGAACAGAAGACTTTCTAGAGACAAACTAGAGCTCCTTAATTTTTAAAAGTTGAAGAAATACTACTGATCTTTGACTATCCATATGGAATGCTTTCTCAAATGAAAATGAACTACAAGAAAGGATCCCCTGCTAAAACTAAGAAGTGGGTCTTTTAATCTTTTTTTAAAAACTGAGTCAATCTCTCTGTTGAGCAACTGGCACTTAGAAAAACAAAGCACATATCGTACATCTGATGTCAGATTAGCTGCGCCAGAATTTTCACAAACTCTGGTTTTATTTATTTATTTTTCGTACTGAGAATCCAATTCAGGACCTTGTGCTTGCCAGGCAAGCGCTATGCCGCTGAGCTATATTCCAGGCCCCCAAGCTTTTGTTTAAAGAAAAAAGTACGTAAGATTAAATACCTTTCAATTTGTTGCCAAATTTAACGATAGGAAAGAAAGTTAATAGGTCAGTTTTTAGAAAACCACATTTTTTTGCCTTGCTAGACACGGGTGGCACACAACTGTAATCCCAGCACCTGGGAGACTGAGGAAGGATGATCGCCAAGAGTTGGAGCCCAGCCTAGACTACACAGCGAGTTCAAGGCCACCCTGAACTACTGTCTCAAAAATGATCTAGTTTTAATATATGTGCTACGGAAGCGAGCAACTAACGGTCTATATGTACACCTAACACCCCCAAGTTATTGCTACATTAACAAGTATGTACAATTACTATATCTGAACGGTAATCTTCAACCGTTATTCAGGGAAACTAGGTTTGGTCTTTGAGAAAGGTCGTTCAGATCTAAATGAACACAAATCAATGCCTTTGACAAAAATCTTCTAAGGATAAAATAACAGATATAACAGTGAGCTTTTAACATACCAGGCATTGTTCGGTCACCTGGATACCACGTTACACGCAAAACAATCGTAAGAAAGAACTATTATTACCATACCTAGCATTTTGATTAAAAGGTGTAGAGACACAGAATAACCCGTTGCTCGAAGTCTTAAAACTAGAAAACGGGCAGAACCGGGTATTCTATCAACAGTCTCCCTGCACCACTACACTACAGAGCCATGGGGTATACTGATCCTCTGATACGAGAATGAAACCTAACTTCAAATTAACTCCACTATAGGCTTCAAAAGGAAAAACTGGGTCCAAGACGTAAAGGACACAGGTAAAAAGAAAGAAAAGGGGTACAGACTCTTTTCTTCACACACCTCTTCCCGCCCTCTGCTGACCGCTCCACAAACATGGAAGGGTGCACGTGACATCAGATGGGAAAAGCAGATCCCCGGACACACCTGAATCCTCCTCCTGTCACTCGATCCCTTCTATACTTTTCTATCTGTGGTGAAGGTAAACTTCCACACCGGGGATCTTGTACTCATCGCAGTGCCTCAAAAAATCCCTATGTGCGATTTTGGTTCCCTTAACAGCCTAGTTAACGTGTTCTAAAAGCAGAGGAGCCCCCAAGTCACAGAAACGGCAACCTAACTTGTCTTGCAAATAAAACAGAAAAATGAGATCTGCAAATTTCGCGTTTGCCCTGAGCGTGGGGCTCCCATCAGACAAGACCAGGCTGAGTTTACTTTTCTCTTCCCGCTCCTCAAAGAGCGGTCCTGCCCCAGGTCTTCCCCGGAACAGCGAGCGTCAGGACTCGGGGGCTGGCGGAGGTCCAGAGGGCACGAGCCGCGACTCGCCTCTAACCTTCAGGATCTCGCGGCCACCCACGGCCAGCGCCACGTGCCGGCTCTGCAGGCCGCACTGGATGTCCTGCGCGCGAGTGCCCGGCGGCACCTGCACCTCAATGAACACCTCCTCCAAGGTCTGGTACCACTGGCCCCACGGCGTCCCGCACGGAACCACCCCACTGCGCTCCTCAAACGGGGCAGACATCCTGCAGCCCCGGCCAGCAGCAGCCGCAGCGAGCGCGCGCCGCGCACGCGCCGGAGCCCACGCTCGGGTCACGCCCTCCGGCTCTTCCGGTCCGGCGCCGCACATGCGCAGCAGTCCGGGCGGCAGTCTCCCGGGGTGTTCGTCTTTCCTTTTCAAGCAGCATTTAGAAAGACACTAGCAGGACCCGTTTAAAAGAACTGATATCTAGAAAGGGTGGCATTCAGGGTACGGTAGGTGAGCGTTGGAACGAGTGACTGAGGGATTCTTTACACGCTCACCAATATGACGCCAGTATGCAGCTGGTATAAAACGCGCTTGCGCAAATGCTGCTAGTGCGTGGGTCACACTTGAGTAACAGCAGATGTAACTGGGCGAGGAAGTAGGGAAGAGACGAAGCCTTTGATTGGCTGGTAGTATAAATTTAAGGGCACGTAATGCGTGACTCGCAGAAAAGCCAGTGCGCATGCTCTTTGGCGTTCCTGTGCCGGATTGGTCAGCCCTGGAGTTTTGGGTTTCCCAATTGGCTAATGTAGAGTAGGCGGGGAAGTGCCCATAGATTTGAATTCAAACGAGTTATTCCACGCAATTGCTGAGGAGTTCTAAGTGATCTAGGTTTCTGGACTTGGCTGTCAGCATGTCCTTTCCTAAGGCGCCCCTGAAAAGATTCAATGACCCTTCCGGTGCGTACGGGGAAAAGGGTCGGGAGTGGGAAGGAGGGCCCGCAGAGTCCCCCTCGCTTCTCGGGGGCGAGCGTGAGGCTTATTTTAGGGCTGGAATGGGGCTTTCTCAGTTGATTTATTTTTCTTCAATACATATTCGTGTCTGACACAATCTAAGCACTGTTCGGGAAGCGGAGGGTGCTGCACTGGGGGAAACTGAGTCCCTGAGCCACAGACCTATGTTCAGGCAGGGAATCCAGTACTGTCAGGAAAAGAGACCAAAGCAGATGAGAGGCGCTGGTGGCTGTGTGAAAGCCAAGTCCGGACAGGGCACCCTAAAAAAAAAGATTGAGTGCTGCTTTTCGTCTGACTTTGTAGATTTCTTTTGGATATTCGAGCGCAAAAAGGAGTGGAAAAAAACAATATATGAATGTCAAGTAGCAGTAGCACTTTTTAAAAACGCTATAATTCAGACAATGGCAGCTATCAGCCACTTGTCGTAGTAAAGATTTAGTAGGATCTGAATCTTAAATAGAAATTCCCAGGAGACTTAAACTTAAGATTTTGATTGAGGGATGTATAATGTTTTCATTCGCTATGACCTCCCCAAGTCTACAGAGCAGGTGGCATAGTGTTTTCTCCAGATTGTCAGACAGGTGAATTTGAACTCCTATCTGGCAGATTACAAAACGCCATTCCATTCCCATATCGCCAAAACACTTCCTGTATTTTCTTTTCCATGCTGATAAACTCATTGCTGAGCTAAATACTAGGGATACAGCCATGACTAAGAGCCTGGCTTCGAACGTATTAGTTTTCATAGCAGTTGTTCCTAATATGCAAGATTTGCAGGGGAATAAATGATTGCAAAACTATAATAAGTTCTATGATAGAAACAATATACAAGTTTCTGGGGAGGGAATTTTTTAGCCTGATTTGGGAATTCAGAGAATTGGAAGTGACATCCAACTGAGATCTGGAGAATAAATGAAAGTTAGCCAAGTAAAATGGAAGATGGGCTGTCAATAGTAAATGGAAGAATGGAAAACAAGTCTGGAAGTTTGAAGTTTGTTAACTATAATCCGTATTATGTTTTCTTTCCAAAGAGGTGTTGACTCTGTGATGTAATTTTTAGGTCACTGTTGATGAAGATATAAGTTATTTCAGAAAGCTTATGCTATCTCCACAGATACCCCTTTTTGCCTGATCTTTCTAGATTTCTAACAAGTCACTCTATGATATACATTTAAATGTTGGTAAGAAAAATTCCATAAATATGAAAATAGCTTGTACCACAGTCTCTCATAGAGTTGCTAAGTGTAGATGACTGAAATTCAGCCAACCTGAGATCATCTTGAATCTAAATCCCCATAACTGTCAAAGTTGTCACTTCGGAGTCCTTAGAAGAGACTTGACATATAGCCTTGTGTGTTCTCAACTTCTACCATGCTGCTTAATCACTGACCACTGTCTTTTCTTTTATTGGCTCTTATTTTCCTTGAAACTGTGGACCCCATAATGGACTAGAACACTACAATTCAATGTTTCATGGGTTTTATTTTTATTTGTTTTTTTTTTAATTTTTTTTTGAGGTTTGCTACGTCTAGAGCAGTGCTTTCCACACTTTTGCACAGAAGCGAAGAATAACCTCATTTCCACTCCCCCAATAAAGGCCTGCCCACAAGTAGTGGGTAGCATTTTTCTTTAAAATATAATGTTCCTTTTTACCCTCTACCCTAAGTGAATAAAATAAGTGCTGCAAGATGTCCCACATATACTGTAAGCTGATTTGAGGAACCTCTGTCACCATATTCCCCCCAGAGTTTAGTTTACAAGATGTGGGAAATGTGAATCAGCTGATATCAATAATATTTGCAAATTGGCCTTTAACTTACAGCAATGAACTCTACACTTGATTTCGAAGCTTCCTTATTGGAAATCTACTACCTCTACTCTGTCAACTGCATTTAGATCTGAAAGCACTCAAAGATTGGAATCTTTGTGTCAGTACATGAAAATTATTGTTCCACATAGAGGAGTGAAACTTAATTTTATCTTTAATAAAGTTTTAAGGTCTGTTTCCAATTGGTGATAGCAGTGACTTTAATACTTCTGAAGCTATATCCCAGAGTGATATATAAATATTACATGTCTACCTCTGATGTATACAAGTGACACCAAAGTTCTTTAAAATATTCTCTAACCTTGCCACATGTGAGTCATACTGGTATTATCTATTGTATTTCACTGTATTATAAATGCTAGTTAAGATCTAGTGAAAGCTGGACATATTGGCACATGTCTCTAGTTCCATCTCTGGAAGGCTGAGGCAAGAGGGTCAAAAGTTGAACCCAGCTTTGGCAAAGTAGTGACTTAGCATGACTCAGTCTCAAAATAAAAAAACAGTTTTTAAAGAGGGTTGGAGATATAGCTGAGTGTGAAGTCCCTGGGATCAATCCTTAGATAGATGTATAGATATGTATGTGTGTCTATGTCAAGTCTGCTATGTATAAATACTCACATATGTTCAAATTTGAGGCTCCAGTTCAGTTACGTAGTATAAACTTCTGGAATTTAGAAGTACAATCTGATGTAGTTTATAGTTTGCATATAGTTTGCTTTGTAACTTTCCTGAACCTCAACCTCTTTATAAAACAGGAGTTTTTATGAGGATTTAGCTCAGCAGCACAGCGCTTGCCTGGCAAGCGCAAGGTCGTGAGTTCGATTCCCAGTATCAGAAAAAGAAATTTTTTTAATAAAAAAAAAAAAATAGGGTCTTTTTTTTGTGTGTGAAGATTAAATAAAATACCCACAAAATGCATGGCATAGTACCTGGCAATTAGTGAGTTTCAAGATATTCTAGGTGTAATTAGTGATTGTTATCTTCTCTACATTCAGATTGCAGTTGGCGTCTTCGGTAGGTACATTAATAGTAACCTGAGATGGATTGTCGTTAGAAAAGGCTAGACCGCTTTGTGATTCCTAGAACCATGGTAGTTGCCTCAGTGACTCTTGTGAAGTAGAGCTGCCACCAATATTTATATCTTATACTCAGTCCTTAATATAGCTGTGTTACTTACTGTGCATGACTTTCACTCCCAACGTGTTTCTACTGTTTTGCTCAGTTGCCTGTGTTCCTTTGACCCAGTTGATACAAAGGGCAAGACAAGAATGTTGTTCTTCACAGAGATATTTTCTTTGTACTGTCAAATGGGTGCTATTTTTACATCTCAATGAAACAAGCAGATCGCTAATGGCATCTTTACAGTTATGTTCACTTTATCATGACATATATTTAAAGATCTCAATAACATCAGAGGATATATGAAGTTTTATGTTTTCTCTAGGTTGTGCTCCATCTCCAGGTGCTTATGATGTTATCACATCGGAGGTATCTAAAGGACCAGTATCCTTTCAGAAATCACAAAGATTTAAAAAACAAAAAGGTAATGGATCTCCCAATAAAACAATGGTTATGTGATCTTGTAACTCTTAGGGTTATAAATAACAGTATTTAATTTTAAAACGCTGTTTCCATTTCTAAAGATGTAAAGCTAGAAGTGCATATAAACTTTCTTTGATGGATTTATTAATCAATTACAGAATAATGCTTTCATCATTATACTGAGTATGACCAGGAAAATTAAGCAAGACAGTGACATAAGTATATAGTTTCCCTTTTTCTTTTTGTCTTTTTGAGACAGGGTCTCACTATGCAGTTCCGGCTGGCCTTGAACTCACTTTGTAGCCCAGGCTGGCCTCGAACTCACAGCAGTCCTCCTGCCTCAGCCTCCTGAGTGCTGGGATTACAGGCGTGCGCCACCACACCTGGCATGTAGTTTCCCTTTTGGTAATTAACTTTTCTGTCAGGGAGATTTAGGCAAAATCAGAAAGACATTAGATGTGTAAAACTATTTTGCAAATATTTGGAAATGTAAAATCAAGAAAATAACTTCCTGTTTCATTAATAGCTGAAATAAATTTCAAATTTGTGTTTTGTGTGTGGTTAAAGCAGTCAGCAATCATCATTGGTACAATTTATTTTCCTGCAGAATCTCAACAAAATCTTAATGTTGACAAAGATACTACCTTGCCTGCTTCGGCGAAGAAGGCTAAGGCTTTGGAGTTAAAGGTGAGGAGCTTTTACATGTCAGCTAATTTATCGGCTATATCATTGAAAAATACTCCATATTTTATTAGAGTGGGTTAAATATAGAAACCAAATATATAGGTAAATGTGTAAATCAATAGAAGAAGGTATCATTAGGACTGTAGCAAGTTTTACATTCTACCTCGATAGTTACTAAATTTATTGTATTTAAATGTGTCCTTTGTTCACAATTATATAATGGTTCCACTTTCTTTCGATAAATTTTGCATTACCTTGTGAGCCTTTGCAAATTACCTGATGCTCTGATTTGCTACCATTTGACTTATTTTCATTTTATTTGTGGGGAAGGGTAAGTACTGGTGAAGAAAAAGGAAAAAGCATAAGTCTAATGCCTAAAATAAGTTGCTCTGCAGAAACTGTTAAGGAGTCATGGAGGTTAATAATCTAGTGTTGTAGCCTACTCTTATTAATGTTTTCATTTGTTCATAAGCAGAAAACTACTTTCTCAAGGAGTTGCGCAAATTGATATTTTCACATGACAAAGACTGAGTTGGGAATCCAAGGCTGCGAGTTAAGCTCTGTTTATTCACATGACAATTACCCAAATATTTTTTTGTAATATAGAGCTGTGTTGTCCAGTATAGAAATGACTGGTCCCAAATGACTACTGAACATGTAAAATGTGGCTAGTGCTACTGATGTCTAAATGTTTAGTGTTATTTATTTTTTATTTAATATAGATTTAAATTTAAAACATACTCAAAGGCCAGGGATATAGCTCAGCAGCACAAGCATCTGCCTAGCAAACACAAGGTCCTGAATTCAGTTCCCAGTACCAAAAAAAAAAAAAAAAATACTCAGTTCTGTTAATGGAAAACTTTAAATGTTTTTAGAACCATTGGGGTGTGTAAATCTCTTCTGTATGCTTTATGAATATAAATATAGCTGGATATTTCTGATGAAAATTTTGCATCTGAATTAAGATGTGTTATAAATATTAAATACAGTGTATGGAAATTATGTGTAAATATACCAGAAATAGTAATTTTATACCAATTACATGTTGAAATATTGTATTAAATAAAAAATCTAAAACATTTTACTTTTTTTTTGGTTGTTTTTGAGACAAGGTCTCGCTATGCAGTTCAGGCTGACCTTGAGCTCACTTTGTAGTCCAGGCTGGTCTCGAACTCGCAATGATCCTCCTGCCTCAGCCTCCCAAGTGCTGGGATTACAGGCATGCACCACCACGCCCGGCCAAACATTTTACTTTCTAAATATGGCTATTAGAAAATACCATGGCTGGCATTGAATTATTATTGAACAGGACTGATACAGACACTCTTAGAAATGCATAGAAATGGCTTGCTTTAAATTTCATGGAGAAACAGTTCTGGAATTTTGGGTTATTATAGAATTCACTAACTCCCACAGTAAACTCAGTTACATGCAAATATGTATACAGTCCTCAAATAATATACTTTCCCTAACAGAAAGTGACATCAGTTTTAATAATAAACATAGGATCAGTGTTTCTTCCCCTCAACTTAGGAACACATAAAACAGATTTCATTTGGGGTGTTTATGCATTTTCTTCCATATTTAGATGGTAAAGATAGATGTTCTGTTTCTAGCCTTTATGTCTGTTAGAAAGGCTGTTAGATATAAAAAGATACAGTATGAAAATTATGCCTTACTTAGAATAAAGGCAATAAGAAAACTAAAATCAAAGCCTATACTGTTTCAGTTTTTCCTTACTTCTTTGGAACTGTATATTTTTCTTTGGATATTAAAATTTGTTTGTTCTCTAAAAGATTATGCTTTTGGAGATGGCAGAATTAAATATTCAAAATGTGTTGCTATTTAAAATTAGAAAGGAAGTAGTAGCTTTATCCACCAACCTCTACCTATTCTTTTCACTGGGGTTTTAGGGAAAGCTATTAATTATTGGGTTGAAAACTTTTTAAATTGAAATATTTTGAGGCTTTAAGAACCTTTTCCTTTCATGGATATAGCATAGAGACACAGTGCATGCCTGCCTGACAAGTGTGAGGTCCTGAGTTTGATTCCTGGTACCAAAAAAAAAAGAACCTTTTCCTTCCGGGCACGGTGGCACATGCCTATAATCCCAGCACTTAGGAGTCTGAGACAGGAGGATTGCTTCAAATTTGAGGCCAGTCTGGGTTACATAAGCAAGTTCAAGGGCAGCTTGCACTACATAGCGAGACCCTATCGCAAAAAAAAAAAACCTTTTCCTTCATTTACCAGATAATTGAGCTACAGAATATTTCATAGACTCAGTGCAATGTATAAAATCGAAATTAAGTCTTTGGAACACTTTTGTTTTTTCAGACATCTTTAGAAACTTTGATGTGATATTTTTGACATTCAAGTTTGTTTATATTTGCTCTTTAATTTAAACAGAAGGAGTCTCAGAAGAATGATAAAGATTTGAAGAGATTAGAAAAAGAGGTAGGTGATATTTTCAGTTTACTGAAAAATAAATGAGCTGCATATTGGAAAGAGAATTACGTAAAGCTGAAAAATTCCCTTGCAGTTTGAGTAATCCTACAGTGAAATAAACATGTCCTCCATACTGGTGCCTACAGAAGTGTGGTTCTTTGTCTTGGTTACCATATTTTAGAGCCCAGCCAGCTTCTGTCAGTGTGCTATGCAGGTAAAGTCAAGATTATTTGCATGCCAAGATCAAATTGAAGATAACACATTTTATGAAAAACTGATAAATAAAAACTCTGTACATCCAAGTATTGAAATTTTATATTTAGATCAAATATTTACATTTGCTCAGAGGAAACACTCTTCCTGTGTATTGATCTCTGTTAAGACAGTATATCTAGCTATGAGTTTGAGGCCACCCTGGACTTACAAAGTGACTTCAAGGTCAGTCTGAACTGCATAGCAAAAGCCTGTCTCAAAAAGGACCCTCTCACCCAAAAAAAAAAGGCAATAAATCTAGAGAATTGGCTTAGTGAGCAGGTAATCTCACTGGGTTAGTCAGACTGCAAAGAAGTTGTGCCAGCTCAGTCCATTGCTCTGCCCAGTGGGCGTGTGCCTTCCTTATGGATGGAATAACCTAGAACTGCATAGCCGGTATGGTTGCCAGGAAGCAGACCAAGGGAAAAGTGCCATAGCAGATAAGAGAGAGAGAGACCAGACCCCAAGGCTACCCCTCCATGACTCACCCAGCCAAACCTTAAATTGTGCTCCACCAGTTCCCGGGACAGATCCAGAGGCAATCAAGTTGGAACTACCCTGACCAGCTCTTCTGTTAATGGATATTATTCTTTTGATGATGTAGTAAGACTTTGCATTTGATTATAGGCAATGGTGGGCTTGGGACCAAGAATAAGAATATCTGTGAGGATAACATCAGAATAATACGATTTTTCTAGAAGCTGTAATGCTTTTGTTACCAGGGGCATCTATTTACATATGCACTGTGTCAGTGAATCATGAATGTTTTCTTTCAGATTCGTGTCCTTGTGCAGGAACGTGGCGTTCAGGATAAGCGAATCCAGAATATGGAGACTGAGTTGGAGAAGATGGAGGCAAAGTTAAATGCTGCAGTCAGGGAAAAGACATCCCTCTCTGCTAGTAATGCTTCACTGGAAAAACAGCTTATTGAATTAACCAGGACTAACGAACTGCTGAAATCTAAGGTATCCGAACCTCATGATAACAGTTAAAATTGAGTAATGGCCATGTGTTTTTTTTCTCATTGCAGTCATTTGTCTAGTGTTGGCTCCGCCTTAGCTCTTTTCCTTCAGTAAATGTACTTTAGGTATTAACCTGCTTCAACTGGGCATTATTGTGTATTTTTTTATTAGGGTGCCTGGCACATAAGTTTTAAACCAACAGGTTACTTTTTGTTTTAATGTCTGACATTTTCTCACCCCTCAAAATTACCCCCAGTAAATATAATCATCGAGAAAGCTCACAGAATTTACATTTTAAAGTCACTTTAAAGATCTTTCACTAAAATACGTAATAACATCACGTCAGGAATATCACATTAGGGTTCCGCTTCAGCTCCTTTTGGGAATGAAGTGGGAAATGGATCAATGGAGTAATTTTGTTCAATAAATAGCATTTATCAGCATTGATGTACTAGTAGATCTTCTAGGGCTTAACATGGTCCTGTTGTGCTTGTTATGGAAGTAGAGGAAGGGTATAAATCACCCTGCAATTTTATGAGAGCACTTATTTAGGGCCTGTGATGTATGTGGTCTTTACTTAGTAAAAGAGTAACACTCATTAGAGTCAAACAAGGGGAAAGGAGCACATTCCTGAGTCCCACCCAGGGAAATTCTGATTTAGTGGGCCTGGGGTAGACTTTAGTCTACATATTTCAGACATACAAGGTGATTAAGATTAATTTTGTTAACTGCCAAACACATTTAATAAGTCTTCTCAGATAGGCTCACTGTAACGGACTTTCTAGAATGTAAAAGTAAGTGAACACCCAACTATTTCAGAAATAAACCGGAAGGTCACATTAAGGAGGAGAAAGGACAAAAGCAGTACTGGTACCCAGTTAGGAATTATGTTCCTCAAGAGCTGTTTTCTCTACCAGAGCGCGCCTCAGGTAGTAATAGACACAATGACAGGCTATTAATCAATATTTAAGTAATTTTATACATGACTTCACAAAAAAAAAAAAGATTTCTGACTTTTTAATGTGTTTGTTGGAATTAGTTTTCTGACGATGGTAACCAGAAGAATATGAGGATTCTAAGCCTGGAATTGATGAAACTTAGAAACAAAAGAGAAACAAAAATGAAGGTGAGTACACCTCTTGGTGAGTACACTGTCTGCATCTGGGGATGAAAACGGTACCTCGTGTCCTAAAGCAGGTCCCTCTCCTCTGTAGAGTATGATGGCGAAGCAGGAAAGCATGGAGATGAAGCTGCAGGTCACTCAGAGGAACTTCCAGGAGTCTCAGGGCAAGATAGCGGAACTTGAGGGGAAACTGTAAGTGCCCAAAAGGAAAAAGAAATTGGGTGTAACTGACGGTTCCTTTTCCTTCATTGACTTGCTACCTAAAAACATAAAATGCGCCCCCATTAATGAGGGGCGGGGTGCATACACTGTTTCATGTTTCACGTTAGGTTAAATGTACACATTTCTTTTTAAAAAGTACACATTTCTTCAAATATTTATCAGGTCTTTATGGAGAAAACCTTGAGAATCCTTCTAACTGTTAAGTAATGCAATACATAATTGTTATCTCTGGTCACCTGACTGCACAGTAGCACAACGGAACTTCTATTCCTATGGGACTGTAACAGTAGCATTTGACCAGTGTTTGCCCATCCGTCTCACCTGCCCTCTTCCCAACCTCTGGTGACCACCATTCTGTGCTCACCCTCTATGAAATTAAGCATTTTAACTCCAGTGTGAGTGAGGCCATGCCGTGTTTGTATGTGTGTACCTGGCTTATTTCATTGAACATAATGATCTCCACTTTTATCCATGTTGCAAATGACAGGATTTCATTCTTTTTTATGGTTAAATTATCATATGGTCTGGCAAGTTTTTGATATCCAGAATTTATATGAACTCCCCAAATTCTAAAACAAATAGCCTGATTAAAAAAATAGTCAATGGATACATAAAATAAAATATTCTGTTGCAATATATGCAGTATTCTATTGCATACATGTACCGTTTTTTAAAATCCATCACTTAACCAGTGGTGGTGGTGCACGCCTGTAATGCCAAGACTCAGGAGGCTGAGGCAAGAGGATTGCTGTGAATTCAAGACCAGCCTGGCCTATGTAGTGCATTCAAGCACAGGCTGAACTACACGGAGAGACCTTGTCTCAAAAAATAAATTAATTAATTAAATCAAACAAAAGCTATCAGTTGATAGACACCGGCTGTGTCTGTTTCTTGAGTTTTGTGAATACTGCTGCAGTAAATGAGAGAGGACAGATACCTCTTCAGAAGACTGATTTTATTTTCATTTGGTGTCTAGAATAATGGGATTTTTGGGTCATGTGGTAGTTTCTTTTTCTTCGTCTTTTTTTTTTAAGAGAAGCCTTGTTGGGAGTGATGCCTCATGCCTGTGATCCTAAAACTCTGGAAAGTGAGGTAGAAGTTCCAGGCCAGTTTGAATAGTTAGTTCAAGGCCAGCCTAAACTACATAGCAAGACCCTGTCTCAAAAAAACAAAAAACAGAGAGAGAAGAATCCTGTGTACTGTCCAAAATGACTGTACTGATTTACATCCCTACCACAAGGGTACAAGAGTGCCCTTTGCTTAAATCTTCCCCAATACTTGTTCTCTTTAGTACTTTTGATAATGCCCATTGTTCCTGGGGTGACGTGATACTTCACTGTGGCTTTGACTTACATTTCTCTGATAATTAGTGTTGAGCACACTGACTGTGTACCCAGTGACTTTTCATTTTTGTATCCATTGACTATTTTTTAATCAGGCTATTTTAGAATTTGGGGAGTTCATATAAACTCGGGATATCAAAACCTTGCCAGACCAGTCATAATGAACAAGATCTGAAATGAACTACTCAGGAGAACTGGGCAGGAGGAACGCAAGTTTGAGGCCAGCCTGGCCAAGACCCTGTTTCTAAATAAAAAATAAAAGGGTTTGTGAATATAGCTCATGGAATTGTACCCCTGGGTTCAATCCCCAGTTCCACACATACCAAAAAAAAAAAACAACAAACTCCTGTCACATGTAGTTTGCAAATGTTTTCTCTTTTTCTGTAGGTTGTTTCTTCACTTTTGCTATGTGGAACTTTTGTAGCTTGATAGAAACCCATTAGTCTATGTTTACTTCCATTTGTTGTGCTTTTAGAGTAGTATCCAAAAAAACCTTTCCTATGCCAGTATGCTGAAGTATTTTTCCTATTTTTTCTTAGAGTATTGTTTCTGGTCTTACATTCAAGTCTTCAGTTCATTTTGAGTTGATTTTTATAGCTAGTCACAGATATAGGGATCTATTTTCATTCTTTTGCATGTGAACACCCAATTTTGCAGCACTGTTTATTGAGAAAGCTGTTATTTCTACAGTGCTTGCTCTTGGAATTCTGTAATGAGAATCAGTTGTCTGTAGATGCATTGGTTTGCTTCTAGGCTCTCTGTTGTGTTCCATTGGTCTGTTTTTATGCCAGTACCACACCCTTCTGAGTCTCACAACTTTGTAGTATACTTCAAAATTGGTTAGTGTAATGCTTTCTATTTTAGTCCTGCTCAATTGCTTTCACTATAGAGATTCGGGGGGGGGGGGTTCCATATAAATTTTAGAATTATTTTGTCTAGTTTGGGGAAGATTGTCACATCTGTATATGTCTTTGAGTAGTACATACATTTGACAATATTTTTCTAATTCATGTATACAAGGTACCTTTCTATTTTTTGTGTCCTCTTCATGAATGTTTTATAATTTTTACTTTAGTTATATTTCATCTCTTTCAATAAATTTATTCCTAGGTTTTTTTATGTAGCTACTATAAACAAAATTGCTTTCTTTGTTTCTCTTTCATATAGTTCACTATTGAAATACAGCAGTGTTTATTGTATTGATTTTCTATCTTGTATTTTGTTTAAGTTCATTAATTACTTTTAACAGTTTAAAGTTTTTATAGCTTTCTTTGTGTGAGTTCATGTCATCTACAGACAGTGACAATTTAATTTCCTATTTTGGAATGGTTTAAATGCCCTTTATTTCTTTCTGTTGCCTGACTGTTCTGGCTAGGATTTGCACCATTTGTTTAATTGAAAATGGTGAAAGTGTGCATCCTTCTCATGTTCCAGATCTCAAAAAACGTTTAGCTTTTCACCATTCAGAAAAATGTTAGCTATTGGCTTATTATATGAAGCATGATCAAAAAATACAGTGACTTTTCACCTTAAAAATTTATTAGGAGCCAGGCGTGGTGGCACGCACCTATAATCCCAGCACTCAGGAGGCTGAGGCAAGAGGATTGTTGTGAGTTCGAGACCAGCCTGGGTTACAAAGTGAGCTCAAGCCCAGCCTGAACTGCATAGTGAGACCCTGTCTCAAAAAGACAAAAAAAGAAAAAAAGAAATAGTAATAGAATAAAAGACATGTTAACATTACTTTTCCTCAAACACTCTCCCTCACTTAGAACTCATTTGTCCCATTCTTCTTGGCACTTTTTTGTTTTTGTTTTGTTTTTCTTTTTCTTTTTTGGTACTGGGAATTGAACTCGCCACCTCACGCTTGCCAGGCAAGTGCTTGTGCCACTGAGCTATATCCCCAACCCCTTCTTACCACTTTGAAGCAAGTCTGGAAGTCCTCTTTCATATCTTTACAGATACGATAAAAATATGCTGAATGCTGCTGCTGAGAGAAAGGCAGCTTCATAAAAATGTTACAGTGTGTCTTCATCCACCTTATTCACAGGATCTAGCACCATGCAGCTTTTGATGTTTATACAAAGTCAGAATAACTGTGAAAGGTAAATGTTTGAATTGATACAGGACATTGAGGCAGCACTGACAGTGCAACTAAAGACATGAAAGAGGGTTTTCAGAGCTGCCTCAGAGAGTGTCAAGAATGATGTGTGTTCAAAGCAAGAAGTATTTTGAAAGAGATTAATGGTTTGATGTCTTTTACTATAATAAACATTCACTATTCTTTTATCACACCTTTTAAATGCTTTTATTAAGTTGAGGCATCTTACTACTATACTTAATTTGTTCAGCACTTTTATCATGAAGGAGTGTTGAATTTTATCAGGTGCCTTTTACATATCTATTGAGATGATCCTGTGCATTTTGTCTTTCCTTCTGGTGATGTGAGGTGTTGTCACCAGCCAGTGTGGGTCCTTGCTCTAGTGAAAATAGAAATTAAAATGAAAGCATGAGTTTACAAGAGAAAGCTCTCACTGTGCATTAAGAAAAAATGATGAGAGACTTAACAAAGGAGAATAAAAAAACATAGGAAAGGACTCCAGCTTGAGCAGCTGGAGGGGGGTACACTCTGATGAAAGGAACCAGACTGTCCTGAACTGTGGCCAGTTTTGGGGGGTCCCGTGGTGGGCTGGGGTATCTTTAATTTCTCAGTCTTGGTTTCATAGATCCAGAGGAATTCTCAGACCTTGAGGGAAGATTCCATTCTTTTTTTTTTTTTTTTTTTTTTTTTTTGTTTTTTCTCCGGTACCGGGAACCGAACTCATGACATTGCGCTTGCCAGGCAGGCGCTTTTGCCGCTGAGCTAAATCCCCAGCCCCGAAGATTCCATTCTTTAAAAATGATTGTTTTTGTTTCTGGTGGCTTCAGTCATATGAGGCTCTGTTTCTTCTGGGACCTAGGAGACTAGCATAGCAGTTCAGGATTTTGTTGTCAGGGTAATGCTGGTCTTGTTGAATATATTTAAGAGAATTCAATTTGCAGAAATAATTTAAAAATTAGTATCAGTTCTTCAAATGTCTCATAGACTTAAGCATTATCTTTGAGGATATATGTTTTTATTTGTGTTGGGTAAATATCTGAAGAATTCTTGTTTCATGTATAGCATTCTTTTTTTTTGGTACCAGGAATTGAACTCAGGACCTCACACTTGCCAGGCAGGCACTGTGCCTGCTGAGCTATATCCCCAGCCCCCACATGTAGCAGTTTTAAAAACTCAAAAGTTGTAAAATATGATAGTTCCAGTTTCTCCACTTCCTTATCCTCATTTGCTATTGTCAGTTTATTTTGGCCTTGCTAGCGGGTGTGTAATGTGTTTATGTTTATTGACCATTTGTATGTTTTCTACTATGAATTATCTGTTGAAGTCTCTGTTTATTTCTTAAATTAGGTTATTGAAAGAGGTAAACACATAAGTAATTCCATCTCAGCTGTGGCACATAAGATGCTACTTGGGTGGGTGAAGATACCAGGAAAGCTACAAAGTAAGAGTGTTTCTAACATGTGGGGTGTCGTAGATCCTGGTTGTCATTAGCATAGCTTTTTTGTTGTTGTTGAAGTATGTTTGGGAAACTTTTTCACTTAAAGAAAATCTTTAGTCTCCTATTTGCGTATAACCTGAGAAGTAGAATACCAATGACTAAGAATTTAAACTCTGGAGTCAACCTGTCCGGTACAGCAGTTTCTGGTACATAGTAAGCATTATGTATGATTATTTAGTAAATAAACTAGTACATATTAACATAGTTTTTTTTATTGATTGTTTTTGTAGTGTTTCAATAGAGAAAGAAAAGATTGATGAGAAGTCTGAAACAGAAAAACTCTTAGAATACATTGAAGAAATTAGGTAATACAAATAGTGGTCTTAAATGTGCTTTATTTTGTTCACCACTAATGAATGTATCATTTTCATCACTTTGCTGTTAATTTTTCCTGTAACTAAAGGGCTGTGTTCTCAAAATAATGTGTTTTAATGCAGCTGTGCATCAGATCAAGTGGAAAAATGTAAGCTAGATATTGCCCACTTAGAAGAAAATTTGAAGGAGAAGAATCAAGAAATTTTAAGCCTTAAACAATCTCTCGAGAAAAGTGTTCTGTTATCTAAACAAGTAGAAGAACTGACTGCTAAATGTCAGCTGCTTGGAGCAGAAAAAGGTATTAACATGTTTGTAATTACTTTCTTTGGATAAGTGCTGCAGACTGTATTTAGGAAAAGTTCTGCTATATTAAAATAACTTTTTCATAATTATGTAAATAACAAAAAGCCTTATTCTGTATTTGAGAATTTCTTTAATTTTACAGTGTATTTCTTTTTAAATTTTTGGAAGCTGGGCATTGTGGCCTACACTTGTAATCCCCGCACTCCAGAGGCTGAGGCAGGAGGATCGTTGCAAGTTCAGGACCAGCCTGGGCTACAAAGTGAGCTCAAGGCCAGCCTAAACTGCATAGCGAGACCCTGTCTCAAAAAGATAAAAATAAATAAATAAATTTATTTGTGTTTACCTTTTTCTTTTTTTGTGGTGCTGGAAATCAAACCTGGGGCCTCAAGCATGGTAGGCAAGTAGTGTCCTATTGCCATGTTATTTCGCAGCCAAACACATTGCTTTTCTTGACTGAAAGTAAACAATTGTAGTCTGTTTCTTCCCTACTGGGTAGTCACTTAAAACTGTTAGATGCATATAATTAGCTTTGTTTTATTATAATCATCTATTATATGTTATATTGGATAATGATACAAACTTCCATTTTTTTCCCTTCAGAAATAATCTGTATAACATGCTAAAAGCAGTACTAATGAAATAGTATAGGAATCTGGGTTTTTTAAGTTAGTGTTAGTGTCTAGTTACAGTATTTTTAACATTTTCCTTTTATAGAAGACCTTATCAACAGGAGTAGAGAAAAGGATGAAAATCTAAATGCCGAGATGCAAAACTTAAAAGAGGAGCTTATTCTTGAAAGACAAGAACATGAAAGGCTACAGCAAAAACAACTGCAGACTGAGTCACTTCTCCATCAAGAGAAGGTAGTTAACTACAGTGTAAAACAGAGTGTCTGTTGTCTGTCATAAAATTTTCTGTGTATCAAAAAAGCCTTTGTGACATCTCTGATCAAACCTAATTCTGGAATCATCCTAAGTAAATAATAATTATCAGGATGCTGAGGATTTAGCTACCTATCTTCCCAGTATGTTTACCACGGGGTTACTAATAATGTGGAAACAGTTATGCCGGGTGGGGGCGCACACTATGAGGTTGGGCGCTCTGAGAGGCCAAGGCAGGGAGGATCAGCAGTCTGAGCCAGGCTGGGCATACAGGTCCGTACAAAGGCCGTGAGTTCAATCCTCAATAGCATACGCCCCCGCCAACAAGGAAAGAAAAAACTGAAAGCAAATTTTGTCACATTTTCATGTTATATAATCCAAGAAGATAATTATAGTTGTCTTACAAAAGAATGTCTGAGTAGAAGAAAAACAAGACAATTTTAAAATGCTAACTACATAAAGAACATTTTATATATCAATGAGGAAAAAAACCCACTAAAAATTATGGCCACAGGATAAGTAGATAATGCATAGAGAAAAGTCAGCTAGTGTGTAAGTATGAAAAAATGCTCCACTCAGTAGAAGTCAAGGAAATAGAAATAATTTTTTTATTTACCAAATTGGCAGAAGTTAGAACATTTGGTAATATGAAGCATTGGTGAAGGTTGACCCCATAGGTACTTACATGCGCTGATGTAAAATACTATATTATCAGGCAGCCCACAACAACTAAAGGAATTGACGAGGTGAATATATACTCACCTAGAAAGATCTCACCTACTTTTGTGATTTTTTTAAATAACATTTACATAAATGGTATATACCACTCATTTCCAATGAAATGTATGTATATGTGTATATGTATAAGTGTATATGGACAAAGACTAGAAGGCATACACAGTCCAAACTAATAGTTATCTCTTCAAAGGAAAAACTGAAATTAGGATGAGCAATAAAGATAATTTTTTTTCAATAGAGATAATATTACTTCATTTGAATGTTAGAAATGTTTCAGAATGATGATGTGTTTATATAATTTATATAACTTAAAATTTTATGTAGCAGATAACTTTAAAATATTTCTGTGGAATATTGACATTATATGCTTTTATATCATGAGAAAAGTATATTAAACTGTACCTACAAGCCACTTGTAAGACAGACATTAATATGATTTTAAGTGGTTTTTTTTTCCCCCTGGTCCTGGGGATTAAACTAAGGGTCTTTGCACAGAGCTATATCCCCCAGGCCTCTTAATTTATTTATTTTTGTTTTGCAGTCTTGAGCTGGCAATCTTTCTGCCTTGGCCTTCTAAATTTTAGGGTTATAAGAACTTTTGACGGTGTGTGTTGCTTAGAAAAATGCCTAAAATGACATTTGCCACAAAGTTAAAATGTAAAACATAATGAAAAAATGAATATATAACTATATTTTTGGGGCTGGGGATTTAGCTCAGCGGCAAAAGCACCTGCCTGGCAAGCACAAGGTCGTGAGTTCGGTTCCCGGTACCGGAGAAAAACCAAAAAAAAAAAAAAACTATATTTTTGTAATGTTTCTTTCAAACTCGAATTCAGTTTTTCAGACTTCATTATCTATACTTCTGGTTTTTAATCTCTTAGTAAGACCTCATAATGCCATTTCCAATTATTTTTATTTTTATCGTTCGGACGTAGGAATTATCTTCTAGTTTTCAGCAGAAGCTATTTTCTTTTCAAGAGGAAATGATTAAAGAAAGGAATCTCTGTGCAGAAGAATTAAAGCTGGCACTGGAGGAATTAGATACAGTACAGCAAAAGGAGGAACAGTCGGAAAACCTTGTCAAGCAGCTGGAAGAGGAAACAAAAACTAGAGCTGAAGCGCTGAGACTCCTAGAACAACAGCTGAAAGAGTTCGTATTGATAGGACCCAATATCTATATATGACTACAGATGTTAAAAAGTGTTTTCTAGTGTATTTTCTTAGGATTGCCACATCACTCATGTGAGTTTGCAATGCTGGTATTATTTTACAAGTGAAGAATAGATAGAGATGAAATACATGCAAAGAATGTGGACACCCAATTTAAAAAGTGTTCCTTTGTTTATTAGGCCAGAAGTTTAATTGAAGGAGTTTTAAAAAACAAATGCCCAAAATTTTACTGCTTTTTTACTCTTTTACTCTTTTAGTGCTCTTGTATTTTCTAAAAATTATTGGTTTGTTTGTTTTTTTTATTTGTTTGTTTTTGTTTTTGTTTTTTTCCAGTACTGGGAATTGAACTCATGATGTCACTCTTGCCAGGCAGGCGCTGTGCCGCTGAGCTAAATCCCCAGGCCTTTCTAAAAATTATTGGAATCAGCAGTATAATAATGAATTTCAGAAAAATCTGAGAACTCCACCCTTTAATAAAAAAAGATGTTGGGGCTGGGGATTTAGCCCAACACCTGCCTGGCAAGCATGAGGTCATGAGTTCAATTCCTGGTGCCGGAAAACAAACAAAGAAACAAAAGCTGTATAGTCTAAATTATATTTTTAATACTTTTTTGAAGGAGCACAAACACTTCAAAACTAGCAGTCAAGTTGGGTGTGGTAGAACGTGCCTGTAATTCCGGTGCTCCTGCAGTCCCAGCGCTTGGGAGGCTGAGGAGAGGATTGCTGCGAATGTGAGGCCAGCCTGAACTACACAGCAAGACTGTCTCAAAAAGCAAAGAAAAAAATGGTAGAAAGGGAAAAAGGAAATACCAATTAAAAAGCAAGATGGGGAAAAAACAGGCAAACATTCAAAAAGCAAAAATTTATCACTCAAAATAGAAAAGTAAGATCTCATCTTGCGTTTTTGACTCCATTTCCATATTCCTTCACATTATGCTTCCTTCTCCACTATACATATTTGAATTATTAGGTCCACTTTGATTCTCACCACTGCTTTTGTTTGCTTGTTTGTTTGTTTTTTTTTAATTTTTAAATTTGAGACAGTGTCTCATAAGGCTGGTAAACTGTCCGGGTGTGGCCAGAATTTGGGATTGCCCTGCCTCAGCTTCCCAGAGTTGTGTGAGTATAAATGTATAATGCCATGCCTGGTTTTCCTCCAATTTTTTTTTTTTTCTTTGTCTTTATGAGACAGGGTCTAGCAGTTGAGGGTTGGTCCCAAGTGTTGGGATTACAGGCATGTGCCACCACACCCAGCCCTTCCTCCAAATTTTTAAAACTGACATAACTCTGTAATATATAGATAAACTTAGTAATAAGTAAACTTTGATGAAAACAAGGACAATAAGCAGGAACAATAAAACTAATAGATAAATTACTACATTAAAAAGTAAACATGCTGTCTGAGACTTAGATTATAAACTTGGTTCTAAATAATGCAACAGTTAATGCAGAGGTGAATATGTCTACGTATTGGCTTTCTTAGAGTAATAATTTGTAGTTATTTACCTTCTAATGGGGGGTTGGTTTTTTTTTAAGGAAAGAAGCTGAATTGGAGAAGAATCATACTGCTCACATTCAGGCTACCCTGATTTTGCAAGAAAAGTATAATAGTACAGTGCAAAACCTCGGAGATGTTACTGCTGAATTTGAAAGGTATTTATCTTGGAAGCATCCACCATCAAACGTAATGTTAAGCCAGGAAAAGTATTTTTCCTACAAGCACGTGAGCAAAGCAGTTACACAGAGGATGACTGGTATTACTTTAAATTCCATAATGAGGGTAGTGATGGAGTTCAGCAGCACAGTGCCTGCCCGGCAAGCGTGAGTTTAATTCCCGGTACCAACAAACAAATAAATAAATAAATCCATTCCATAATGACCAGCTATAAATGGGCATTTCGTGGAACCTGGAAATCTTACCCTGTGTATATAGTCACTTCCCTTTCCTGCCTCCAATTCACACTGTACACCTTCACAGAGTTTGGGCAGTTCTCCTGATGTCATCATTTTGCTTAAAGAATTGAAAAGCTTTTATCTCATCACCAAACTTACAAAGCCCCATATTTACATTCTTCCTACCAATTAGACAATTCATTTGTCTTTTAACTTTCAGCGAATTCATTCTGTCATTTATTCTTTATCTCTTATGATTTTCAAGTGCTCTACTGTCATTTTTCCAGTTAGTATGAGTGCACGTTACTGTGTAGCCATTTTTAAATGCATAAATAAAATAAATCTCTTTCTTTCACCACCTTCTGCAGCTGTGTAGATTACTCATCCCCAAAGCAGTTACTAATGTAAAATTTATTTCTGTTTCTACTTCCTCAGCTCCTGGCCCATCTATTTGTTACTTTCTTTTTAAAAAAAAAAAAGTTTAATTGCAAAAGTTAACATACTTCTGCATGTAACACTGAATATATTAATGTTAATATTTTTATTTACTTGAGATCATTTGGGGAAGAAGGTTCTTAATATACTCTGTAGATACAAAAGTATGTAAATTCTGTACATAAGTTACGAAGCATAAATATAAAATCAACACCCATGAACTCAGATTATAATTATTCAAAAACTTCAGCAATTTGATACCTGTGTCTGAGTTCTCAACACCATGCCTGAACACATAGCACTATTTCGAAGCCTTCATTTATTGTTTCATGTTTTTTCCTGTGTTAATACTACATTATTTAATTTTGCTTCTTTCTGAGTGTCACCAGAAAAATGTCATCATACCATTTCCTGGGACTGGCCTTTTTACTCTATATGATATTTTTTTTTTGTCTTTTTGAGACAGAGTCTCACTATGCAGTTCACACTGGCCTTGAGCTCACTTTGTAGCCCAGGCTGGCCTCAGACTCGTAAGGATCCTCCTGCCTCAGCCTCCAGAGTGTTGGGATTATAGGCATGAGCCACCATGCCTGGCTATTATGATATATTTTTGTAGGGTCAAATTACATTACTGCCCACGGCTATTGTTTGCTTATGGTCGCTATTATGAATATTTCATTTTATGAATATACCACAATTTTTTTTTTTGGTACTGGAAATTGAACTCAGGACCTGCACTTGCCAGACAGGCACTTGTGCCACTGAGCTGTATCCCCAGCCCTCTACCACAGTTTATGTATCCATTCTTACTTTGGGTTTCTGGATTCTCTCACTTTCACCCCTCACCAAAGCATAAGACCTTTTAATTTTGACAGTTTACTAAGGGTAAAATGATTTTATGTTACGGTTAATTGACCAGTGTTAAGGATTGTGACTATCCTCTCGCATGGTGTGGCTTGTCTTTTTATTTTCTTTATGGTTTCTTCTGATGGGTAGAAATTCTTTATTTTAATGTGGTTAAATTTACATAGTATATCTTTAGCTCCTGTGAGCTAGTTTCTATCCCAAGAGCATAGAGATATTCACCTATTTTTGTTCTGAAAATTTCACTGTTCATTTTTTCCATCTAAAACTCGTTTATGTATACAGTGATTAAATCTGTTTCTGCTTTTCCCTAGGGATTACCAGTTCCTACTACCTATTCACTGAACAGTACCTTCTTTCCCTAGTCTCTGTTCCTATATATATTTTGGCAGAAAGATAATTTATATTTGCTTATATTTCACCTGTAGTTATTATCTCAACATAAATGTAAATTGTAGAGATACCTACTTACGTACTGCTAATCCCAACCCTTTAAACTGATTTCCATTTTCACTGGTTTGAAAAATAGTGCTTCCAGATATTTTTTCCATTGTGTAATTTCACTATCTGTGCTGACAGCTTCCAGATTTACTTCTTCAAAGCAGACCTTTCTTTGTAGTCTTTCTCGTGTCTTCAAGTAGCCATCTCATTGTAACCTTAGTCTGTCCAAAATAAAGCATTGGTTTTCACTGTCATTTTCTATCAAAGTCAGTGACATCTTTATTGTCCCACTTTCTCAGTGTATAAATTCAGACACACCCTTGATCATTTGCTCTTTTCTACCTGCCACATTTTTCTGTTCTGCCTGCAAAAGAGCTCTCACACCTTTCTTTCTGTTGCCACCACTTTGGTTGAATCCTTTTTTATTGCCCCCTGGGCTGATATTATCTTCCTATTGATCTTCTAATTTTCTATTCCAGCCACTTCCACAGTCTGTCCCTCTGTCTCTGGAATAATCTACATCCTTACTCAGGAGACTTTTAACGGCTCTCCTTTATTCAGTGCCCATTGTTCCCTGCTGAGATGATCTGCCCTGTGCCTCTGGCTTCTCCTGCCTGTCTTTCTCATTACGCAGTAGTCTCACCTCTTAATGGACTTCCTTTGACTGCTTCTAAGCTCCTGTCATCTTTATCCTCTGAACTACTTCCCCTGACTGCCTAGCTCACTCTTTACCCATTACCACTCAGGTTAAGGATCATTTTCTCAAAAAGGCCTTTTTCAAATCACCAACCAGCATGTAGATTCTCTATTCCAGTGATGGCAAACCTTTCAGATACAAGTGCCCAAACTGCAACCCAAAACCCACTTATTCATCACAAAGTGCCAGCATTGTAATTAAACCTGAATATTGAGGTTTTAGTTTAGAGAAAACAACTCATATATTAATATCTTTTGTTTGAAAAGAAAAATACCCCTGGTGCCATAGGTTCGCCACCACTGGCTACTCTATAATCATAAATTTTTGTGTACTTTCTCTTTGTAATACTTCTTACAAATTTAATTCTATGTTTATTCATCCAATTTTTATCAAGAGTAACAGAAGCATTTTCCATTTCCCTTTAGGCCCTTAAACTGTGTAATAGTAGATTCAGAGGTTGCCAATTGTGTATTTGTTTTATTGTGAAGTAGAACTCACATATGGTAATTGATTTTTCTTCCTCTCTGTATGCATACATTCACATAATAGTCACTTGATTTGTTTTCTTTGTTTTTGTGGTGCTGGGTTTGAATGATTTTTTTTTTTTTTTTTTTTTTTTTGGTTTTTCTCCACTTCACGATTTTTTTTTTTGAATGTACAAAATGCCATGTAAATTCATTAGTAGTTACTTTGAAACGCTGAATTCTTACCTATGTGTGCATGAATATATTTGCTTTATTGGAAAGTGTGTATATGTAAACTCATCAGCTATGTATTTGTCATTTATGTAGTAATTAGAAAAATGCCTTTTTTCTTTTTAATAAGCTATAAAGCATTAATAATTAGTGAGATAAATGATCTTAAGCTGGAGAATGCATCACTACAGGAAAAAGTGGCCGACGCCGAAAAAAACACAGAGGATGTCCAACATAAAATATTGAAAACTGAGAGCACAAATCAAGAATATGAGAGGTATGGGAACAATAGAGCCCGCCCACGTCCGTAGCCTTAGCAACGCTGGGACAGTTTCTTGTTGAAAGCCAGCTAGCGAGTGTGGAAGGGGGTACCCCAGGGCTTGCTCTTGCTTCTGGCCATCTTGAATTGTGAGTTTGTGAATTTACATATTTTAAAAATTGCATTTCTTAAATAAGTCCTTGAGGTGACTTGTTTTATTTTGTAGTGGAAGAAGAAAAGGTAATTCAAATAGCTATAAAATAATTAGTTGATTTTTCTATCTCAAACCTAAGGATGCTTCAAGATCTGCAGAACAAATCAGCTCTGAAAGAAGCAGAAATTGAAGAAGTCACAGTTTCTTCTCTTAAAAACATAACTGATTTGCAGAACCAACTCAGACAACGAGATGAAGACTTGAGGAGACAAAAAGAAGAGGAAGAAGCAAGGTCATCTAGATTTGGAGCTTTAGTTTTCTTATAAACGGAGAAAGAATAATTTTCTAATTGTTTTACAATTTAATTTTCCCACCCAGAAAAGCTGAGAAAGAAAATATACTGGCCGAATTAACTGGGGAAGTTAATAAATGGCGTGTCCTTTATGAAGAACTGTATAATAAAACAAAACCTTTCCAGGTTTGTCACTTAAAATTAAATTTAACTTGTGTTTCTTTTAGGGGTTCACTCCGTTCCCTGTTACAAGTCATGATAGCATCTTGGGTTTTTATTTATTTAATTCGGGGGGCAGGACTACTTTATAATTCCAATTTAACTTCCTATGAAAGGCCTATGACTTTAATTGCACATGAATTTTTTGGCTCTACTGAGATATAGCGAACAAATATAATATGCATACATTTTTAATATAACCTTTGTAGATTAAAAAAGCTTCCTAATAAGGAATTTAAAGTTGACATTTCAGAAGACTCACCTAACAGGAACTCAGGATAATCGATTTTTAAAAGATGATATGCATCTTGTTATAATCAGTTTTAGTATTTCTCAAATTAATACAATGATCTTTTTAAAGGGAAAAAGAATAAATGCTAACTTGGACCCTTGAATTGAGTAGATGCGCATATTCATCAAAATGTGATGATCTGGCTGATAGAGATGAAGCTGGCTCACTGGCTTTATTTCTTTTTCTCTGTTTTAATGATTTTAAAATGAAAAACCTGAAGTTTGAAAGATTTACTGAGCGAATCTGTGGAGAGCCTTGAGAATAAGGAAGCACATTCTGTTTTTGTTTGGTTTTAAATTTTTCTTTAGGTTTTCTTCTTAATGCTTTATAAGAAATAAGTAAGATTTAACAATTTTTTAAGTCTTAACCTCATAAAAACAAACCTCTTTTCCAGCAACAACTGGATGCCTTTGAAGCAGAGAAACTGGCCTTACTTAATGAACATGGCGCAACTCAGGAACAGCTAAATAAAATAAGAGATTCGTATGCTGAGTTACTGGGTCATCAGAATCTAAAGCAAAAAATCAAGCATGTTGTGAAACTGAAAGATGAAAATAGCCAACTCAAATCGGTTTGTAAAGTAACGTTTGGTTTTTTTAGGGTACTGAGGTGAAGGGCTTATTATTCTTTATATTTATAAAAGTTAAGTGTACTGAACATTCATTATCAAAAAATCATAGTTTATAAAGGTAAATTCATCTGGGATTAAAGGAGTAGTGCTTACATGTTCTTAGGTTGTCCAACTACAATTTAATATGTAGAAAATTACTATTGTAGTGGGCATGGTGGCAGATGCCTATGATTCTGGCAGTCTGGAGGCTGTGGTAGGCGGATCACTTGAGTTTGGACTACATAGTGAGACCCTGTCTCCAAAAAAAAAATTTTTTTTAAATAAAAAAATAAATGAAATTACTGTTGTAATTGGAAGACTTTATAAAGCTTAACTTTATGTATCAGTTTCTCTTTGCTAAATAGCAGATTCCTTGATAACATGAAGATAAGCAGTGTTCAAAATAATATTTAAATTTTTAACAAGTTTGAGATGGCATTTACATCCCATACAATTCACCCATTTAAAGTGTACGATTCAATGATTTTTTTTTCTAGTATATTCACAGATGTGTGAAACCGTTACCACAGTGAACTTTGTTTTGTTTTGTTTTGTTTTGTTGTCTCTTTGAGGAAGAGCCTTACTATGCAGTTCAGGCTGGCCTTGAGCTCACTCTGTAGTCCAGGCTGGTCTCAAACTTGCAAGGATCCTCCTGTCTCAGCCTCCCGGGTGCTGGGATTACAGGCTTGTGCCACCATGCCTAGCTTTGTTTTGTGTCTGAGACAGTGTCTAACTATGCAGTTCAGGCTGGCCTTGAACTCACCATATAGTCCTGGTTAGCCGTGAACTTGCTGCGCTTATCCTGCCTCATCTACCCAAGTGCTAGAATTATAGGTGTGCACTGCCGTGCTGGGCTACCACAGTGAACTTTAAAACATTTTCATCACCTCAAAATGAAAGCGTGTGCTTTTTTTTTTTTTTAAAGAGAGAAAAAAAATAAAAACAGTTTCATAACAAGATGACAGGAAATTAACAGTGGTTATTATATTACATATTGTTATCTTCACAGTAGTTGCTCAGATTACCAGGTACAGGCATGCAAAACTGATCAAACAATATGAGCACTAACTGTTCTTTCAATGAACTGATAGAAATTAGTCGTACAATTATCTTAGCTACCTTGTGCATTTTTCCCTTCCTTCTGTTCTCTTTCCCCCATCCCAGTTGCTCTTTCCTTTTGAGCAGTTTGTTCCTCTTTCACTGTTTATCATCTTCCTGTTGCCTGTTCTACTCACTCTTCTACACAACCACAAGCTTGCATTGTCCCTTCATAGATGTCCCTATTTTACATATTTCATGTTTGTGGGATCAAATAACACGTAGTATTTTGACTGTCTTTCAATTAGAGTAATGCCTTCAAGGTTCATCCATGTTGTAACATGTGTGGGTACTTCTTTCTTTTTTATGGTCTAATGATAATTCGTTGTGTAAATTAATGTTTTACTCATCTCATCAGTTAATGAACATCTGCCTTGTTTCTATCTTGTGGCTATTACAACAAATGTTACTAGAAACCTTTGTGTACAAGTTTTACATAGTCATATACATTTTACATAGTCGTATACATATTTTTCTGGGATACATACATAGGAGTGAAATTGCTGAATCATGGCTGTTCTTTTTAAGAAGTGTTTTCCAAAATGAGTGTGCCATTCTGTGTTTCATCCAAAGTGTGTAAGAGTTTCAGTTTTCTGTATCCTCACCAACATTTGGTATTCCCTTATTTTCTGATATTGGCCATTCTCGTGGATGTAAAGTGGTTTTTTGTGTGGGATTTTGACTTGCATTTCCCCAGTAGCTAATGATGTTCATCATGTCTTTATATAGTTATTGGCCTTTTGTGTATTTCGCTGTGAAAAAGTTTATTTAGATCCTTTGTCAGACTTTAAACTGGGTTATTGGTCCTTTAATTGTGTGAATGTGAATTTTGGATACAACTCTCTTACGATGTATTATTTGCAATTATTTTCTCCCCGTCTGTGGGTTGTCTTTTATTTTATGATGATGTCCTGTGAAATACAAAACTTTGATGAAGTCTAGTGTTTTCATTTCCTGGTTACTTATTCTCTGGTATCTAAGAATTATGTGCCAAATCCAATGTTATGAAGATTTCTTGCTGTATTTTCTTCTTAGAGGTTTACAGTTTTAGGGCATCGATCCATTTTAAGTTAATTTTTGCAGTTAATGTGAAGTAAGGCCTAATTTCATTCTTTAGTATGTGTGAGTTGCTGGCAACCTGTTTTTTGAAGAAACTATTCTTTTCCTTAGTAAATGACATTGGCACCCTTCTCAGAAATTATTTGCCTGAATATGTATAACTCAATTTCTAGACATTCCATTGTTTTCCTTTCCTCTAGACATCTGTCCTGGTTCCACAGTATCTTATTACTATTTTTTTGTAGACCTTTTCAAAATCAGGCAGTGTGAGTTCTAATTAATTTTTCTTCCTAAGATTATTTTGTCTGTATTAGACCCCTTGCAGTTCTATCTGTGTTTTCAAATCAGCTTTTCAGTTTCTACGGAGAAACTAGTTTGGATTATGTTGGGAATTGAATTGATCTGTAAATCAGTTGAGGTATGTTGCCGTTTTATCAGTGCTAAATCTACTAATCTAGGCGCATAGGCTATTTTTCCAATCACTTACGTCTCCTTTACTTCCTTTCAACAGTACTTTGTAGTTTTCAGAGTATAATCATCTTTCAGTGTCTACAGGGAATTGGTTCCAAGACCCTCCTAGGATATCTAATTCATGGATGCTCAAGTTCTTGATATAAAATAGTGTAATGTTTGCATATAACCAATGCATATGTTCCCGTATATTTTCTATCATCTCTAGATTACTTACAATAACAATACCTAATACAGTGTAGATGCTTATTATAATGTCTCATTTAGGGAATCAAGACAAGAATCAATACATGTTGAGAAGAGATTTTTTTTTTTTTTCCTAAATGTTTTCAGTACCTGGTTGGCTGAGTCTGTGGGTGTGAGGCCCACAGATACTGAACCTCAGGATGCAGAGCGTTGGCTGTGTGGTTTTGCATTTCCATAGTTAAATTTATTCCCGTTTCATTCTTGCTACTGTAAGTGAAAATGTTCATGCTACTGTAAATGAAATTTTTTAAATTTGATTTTTGGATTCTTCACTCTGGGCCAAGGATGTAGCTCAGCCGCACAGCAACTGCCTGGCAAGCATAAGGTCCTGAGTTCGATTTGAGATTCAAAAGAAAAACCAGAAACTTATGGGTTTTTCATTCCAGTGTGTGCAAATACGATTTACATGTTATATATTGATCTTGCATCTTACAACCTTGTTAACTCTACTATTTCTAAATAGATATTTTAGTGGGTTCCATAGGATTTTCTGTAAAGAAGATCATGTCATTTGCAGATGGAGATAGTTTTACTTATTTTCTTTTTATTTGTTTTCCTTTCCTTATATCTCTGACTTGAACCTGCAGTACCTTGTGAAATAGAAATGATAAGAATGGACACTTTATCCTTATCTGTGGTGGAAGATATTAGTCTTTAACCAAAATATATAATGTTTATTGTAGGGATGTGTATACAGTATGTTGCTGGTGTGGGTGAAGTGTGAATAGATGATCTTCAAGTTAAGCAAGAGCCCTTCCAGTTTGCAGCATGTTTTTATCATGAATAGGTACTGAATTTTTTCAAGTACGTCTTCCATTTTATTAAAGTAAAATTAAAATGGAGACCAGGCTTGAGAAATTCCTAAGCAAACAAGACCAATTAGGCCTTAGAAATATTAATTTCTGGGCTGGGGTTATAGCTCAGTGGCACAGCACCTGCCTGGCCAGCACAAGGTCGTGAGTTCGATTCCTGGTACCAGAAAAAAACCAAAAAAAGAAAAAAAAGTACTGATTTCATTTAAGTTGTAAAACTTAAATTTTCCAAAAGTGCACATGTAAGTAAAATTTAACTTGGGTCATTTCTGAGAAATATTTTTCAGAAAAAAAATAGCACTTTAGTTCTGCAATCATAAGAGCAAGCTACCATGTAAATATGTGACTAGTAAATATGTGACTAAATATAAGTTCCCCCTAAAAAATACATAATTGTGTAGCTACAGTCAGATCTTTTTTTTGTCCTCTGCATTTTCCCAGTGAATTCTTCTGATATTTTGTCATTGGAGTTTGAAGCCTCTGTCTGATGTTCTCCAATTCTTCAATTGCTTCTTACTAAGATAAATGCTTAAAAAGTCTAGTATGTTTTTGGCTTTTTTTGTTTTTTTGTTTTTTGTTTTTTTGTTTTTTTCCAGTACCGGGAATCAAACTCATGACCTTGCGCTTGCCAGGCAGGCGCTGTGCCGCTGAGCTAAATCCCCAGCCCCAAAAAGTCTAGTATGCCTCAGATTTTTCTTTGATAATTTTCTATTAATATGATCACGTGACTTTTTACATTTTACTAACATTATATATTATATAAACTGATTTTTAGTTGTTAATCCAACTTTCTGTTCCTTTTTTTTTGTTTTGTTTTGTTTTTTGTCTGGTACCAGGAATCTAACTCACGATCTTGCGCTTGCTAGGCAGGCTCTGTGCTGCTGAGCTAAATCCCCAGCCCCCTCTGGTGTAATTTTTAATAGTGCCCAAGGGGCATAAATTGCTCTCCAGATTAAAGCAGTCAAATTTTTGCTCATTTGTAGTAGTTTTACCTGAGATCAGTGCTTGGTGTTTGTTTTGATTCCACAAAGCCTTCTTCCAGCTGTCTGTCCCCCAGTTCTCTGCTGCGAACTAGCCAGCCTACATTTCAGCCACCTTTTGAGTCATCTCCCACGTTCCCTTTGCCACAACCACCTCTGTTCTTGAGTGCACCCGTAGGGTCCAACTTCTACCAGTTCTATTGTAAGTGAGGTCAGCTGACTTGGGAGGAGATGCAGAGCCACCTGTTTCATGGCCTGCTTTTCCCTCAGACAGACTCTCCAGGCCAGGATTCTGGAGCTGGAATTAAGGACAGGGGCCAGCTTTTTTCTGAGTGCTAGCTATACCCTTGGAGCTGAGTTCTCGGTGGACCTGTAAAGAAAGGCGATGAAGAGTGGCTCAGGTTCTCTCAGCTGGCCTCTCCTGGCATGGACCCATTGCCTCACAAGCCAGAGCAAGGGTGACAGGGCTCCAGCATTTTCAGCACACTCCCCAAGGCAGAGCTCCTCTTCCGCAGTGGGACTGAAGGGAGAAAGGGATCCCCCTCCTCTCCATTGCATAACTCTGATGTGCCGCTTTCACTGGGAAGATGAGGGAAGAGGAAGGCCAACGTTCTTGGCTCCAGAGGCTGGGCGTGAGTCTCTGCTGGCAGTAGGGAGTGCATAAGTGTGGGTTCAGATGCCACAGACTTTCATCTTTCCTGTAAAATTTGTATTGATTTTCTTGAAAAATGTTTCTTCATCTGCCCTTTTGACCCTAGGACTATTTTCAGAGGCCTTGCCTGTTTCCATTTTATTATTTTTAGTGTCAGCAGGAAGCGGGTCACAGAGCTTCATGCTACTATACAAAAAGCTGACTTCAGCAGTTTTTGTTGTATTTGATTTTTGTTGTTGTTGTTTGTTTTTTTGTTGTTTTGTTAGACAGGGTCTCAGTATGTAGTTCAGGCTGGCCTCAGACCTAGTGATCCTCCTGCCTCAGCCTCGGGAACATTGGGACTATAGGTGTGTGCCACCACACCCAGCTCAGCTCAGCCATTAATTTTGAGTGGAACTTTTACCAGAAAAATAAGATAGCTGTAGAGAAGTGATAAGATTTAAAACACTTTATCTCCTTCCACTTAGTTATTCAGGAATTTAGTCTTAAAGTTTTTGCCATTAGGTATGACACAAAGCAACTTTAGAATTTATCTGCAACATTCTTAACATATTTCACCAAGGTGATCTTTAATAATCATTTATTATCCATACTTTTTTCAACTAGGAAGTGTCAAAACTCCGATCTCAGCTTGCTAAAAAGAAACAAAGTGAGATAAAACTTCAGGAGGAACTGAATAAAGTTCTGGGTGTCAAACGCTTTGATCCTTCAAAGGCTTTTCAACATGAATGTAAAGAAAATGTTGGCCTCCAAACCCCACTGAAAGAAGGTAAAAAGGGAATACACGTGTAGAACTGTCATCTTCCTCTGGATTTGCTTTCACAACAGCAGCTTACCTTCTGATGAACTGTGAAAATGGGTTGATACCTTCTGGTATGAAAGACATTCTTCCTGAAATTGATGTTTGCAGTGCCTTTTTCCAGCCTCCACAGTCTTCTACAGACCCAGATCCCTCCTGTCCTTCCCCCCACTCAGATTACATCCCCTCTTTACCTTGTGTGACTGTTTTGCTCCTACCTTCACCCTGCACCGTAAATTATTCCCTATATAAAACTTATATTTTAACCTAAATGTCTCTTAGGTCCTTATTTATTTTCTAATTTGAAATTTTAGAGAAGTAAATTTTCTCTGTTTTGACTGAATCTCTGTACCTCACAGCAAATCCAAATTGATTAAAGTAGTCAATAAAGGCATAAAAGTAAAATAATGCTGCAGAATGTAAGCACTGCGTTACCTGCCTCCAAGAAGGCCTGGAGGCGGTGACAGAGGGGCTGGCCCCGCAGCTCTCCCTGCCTCACTCCCTCGAGCTTTCTCGGGCCTCGCGGTGTGCATGGAGGGGACAGCAGCCTGGAGAGCCGCCGGAAGTGCGACCTGGACCCAGACGACGGAAGCGGGAGCTGCCTCTACAGCTGAGGGAGCAGCCAAGGAAAAGAGATGGAAGAAGAGGAGTGGAGCCGCTGCAGGGCAGCAGGAACCTGAGAAAGAGTCAGGCGGCTCTGTGGCTGAGGTAGCAAAATACTTGGAAATAAAAGCGCTGGAAGAGAAAGAGAGAGGCGGTGGTGGTGGTGATGGAAAGAAGAAAAAGAGAGGACCAGAAGTTCGAACAGGCCCTCCTGGGGTTCCGATAGGAGACCTGTGTCCTGATGGTGTGTTTCCCAAAGGGCACGAATGTGAGGATCCGCCCTCAGGAGACCAGTGAACAGCTGCTCGGAGAACCACAGGGAGGAAAGGAAAGCATCCAGTCAGGCTAGCTGACAGATCGGGAATGATTTTCGAGAAGCTGAAAAAGCACATCGACAAGTTAGGAAATATGAGCTGGATCAAGCCGGGGATGATGATGATGATGATGATAGAAATCTGTGAGCCACACTCATAAGTGAAATAAACCAGGGGGCTGGGGATTTAGCTCAGCGGCAAAGCGCCTGCCTGGCAAGCACAAGGTCGTGAGTTCGGTTCCCGGTACCGGAGAAAAACCAAAAAAAAAACCAAAAAAAAACAAAACAAAACAAAAAAAAAGAAATAAACCAGACACACATGTGTCAACATCATATTGTCTCCGTAGTGTGAGAAGCCGAAAGACTAAATAAGATCCAAAATGCACAATATACATTGGGAAATAGGAAAAACTTCAAAAGGAAAGAGAAACTGGGATGGGGGAGTGGAGAAAAGAAGGAAGGAAAAAGAAAAAAAATATATATGTAAAAGATAGTTAACATAGTTGTACCACTAGTTTCTCTTAGTTCATTGAAAAGAAAGGTTTATGGTGATATTGGCTGTACATTTTTTTTTTTTTTTTTTTGTCTTTTTGAGACAGGGTCTCGCTGTGCAGTTCAGGCTGACCTTGAGCTCAGTTTGTAGCCCAGGCTGGTCTCGAACTCACAACGATCCTCCTGCCTCAGCCTCCCGAGTGCTGGGATTATAGGCTGGTTGTACAATTAAATACTGCTATCTCATACTCTAAGTAACTAATTTAAAGATAACAATACGCAATATACTAACCATTGTTACCCTCCTATTATCTTGTTTTGAAAATTTTTTTTTTTTTTTTATTAAAAAAAAAAGGGTGAGAAGTTGGAAGACTGTTCATGCTTAAACACAGACCTGGCCTTTCCCCTTGGGTGTTCCCTTGTAAGTGCTGCCCGCTGTACTCCAGTACAGGTGACACAGGGTTACAGTGTGATGACATCTGTAAGATCAGTTTACCACATTCACATGGTAGGATTATTGACTGGTCTTTTACGGTCACTTTTAATCCCAAATATGAAACGTTATTAAAAGGTGTAAAAGATGCCACTAATATTGGAATAAAGTGTGCTGGCATTGATGTTTCATGGTGTGACTGACATTGGTGAGGCCATCCAGGAAGCTGGAGTCCAATGAAATAGAAATAAATGGAAAGGGATATCAGGTGAAGCCAATCCGTAATCAGAATGGGCGATTGGGCTGTACAGGATACACATGGGGAAGACCGCAAATCATGGGTGGGGAGGCAGCGAGAAGAAGCAAGGACATGTGTATGTTGTCGAAACCTTTGTTAGTACAGGAAACGGTGGCGTTCATGAGGACATGGAGTGTGCACATTACGTGAAAAATTTTGATGGTGGACATGTGCCAATAAGCGCTTCAAGAACGAAACACTTCTTAACTATCAACAGTGAAAACTCCAGCACTTGTTTTCTGCAGATGGCTAGGTTGCCTGGGAAAAAGTAAATACTGGATGGTGCTGAGGAACCTGTGACTCGGGCATTGTAGATCGGTATCCACCACTATGTGACATTGAAGGATCATACGCAGCGCAGTGTGGACATACCATACTGCTGCACCCAGCTTGTAAAGAAGCTGCCAGCAGAGGAGATGGCTCTTAAACTTAGTCCAGAGCCATGTCCACAGCTCCATCTTCTAAGCTTTGTTGGAAGACAACACACCAGAATTAATGCATGCATGCTGTCTGTTAGAACAGTGGACCTGTGTAATGTTTTTGCCCATGTTTAAAAGAATTTGATTTTGATCAGAGGCAGATCATTTAATTAAGGAAAGAGCTTTCAGAAAGAGAGAGGTGGCGGTGGTGGTGATGGAAAGAAGAAAGAGAGAGGACCAGAAGTTCAAACAGACCCTCCTGGGGTTCCGATACTTTCAGGACTTTTAAATGTTCACTGTTTCCCCACTGTCTAGGAAATACTATAAAGTTCAAATTAGTTAAGAATGACTTAGATGTTTTGCTTGGAACACCTAAATCATGGTTTTTTATTTATATTGCCATATTCTTGTATGCTTCGAATGGCTGACTACATCTACTTCTGCACCTGTGCCCACTGGTATTGCTTTTTTTTTTTGGTCCTTTTGAGACAAGGTCTCACTGTGCAGTTCAGGCTGGCCTAGAGCTCACTTTGTAGGCCAGAGTGGTTACGATGATCCTGCTGCCTCAGCATCATGCGAGTGCTGGGATTACAGGGGTTTGCTACCATGCCCGGCCTTTCTTTCTTTTTTTTTTTTTCTTTTTTGGTATTGCCTTTTAATTTCCTTAAATCCACTTTCTAAAACATAAAGACATTTTCAAATCTAAAAGAGAAAGATGTTGTGTTGTTTTTGATGTTATGTTTATAAGGCTATTTTATAATGTATTTAACTACTTACCCATAGGTATATGAAATAATATAATCAACATTTTCAATCATTAATAATATAATAACATTTTCAGCCAAAATGTCTCGATATTTTATTTTCTATTGTTAAGTACCTGCTTTGTACCTTTTCCTCTCGTTCTGAAGGTTTTAACTGACTTTCTCCTGCAGTACATACCATCGTATCAACATTGCTGTAAAAGTTACTATGAAATGATCCCCTATTCTGTAACCATAGTTCAAGGTTATAAACCCTACCTTGATTATAGAGAATTTCTCTAATCTGAAAAAGATTAAAAAAGGTACAGCACCGTTGCTTGATCTTGCCCCTTGTACTTTAATAATAATGTCTTTTCTATGTTACCCATCATCCATCCAGTTGTCCAGTGCAAATAAAAAATAATAAGAACAGGCTTAATTCCATAGTAATCTCATTATCTTTTATCAAAGTCATTGAATTTTTTAAATATTTTTACATTTCTAGGTTGTATTCCAATTATAAATTAAAATCTGTAGCTTGGCCTATAAAATCTGCATTTTTAATAACCTGTTTTGTTAATTCCTAGATACACTAAAATCTGAGAAAGTCTTTATGTAATTTCTTTAGACAATTTGTCATCTGTTTACTACAGTTAGTACAATATGAAGCAAAACTACAATAAGTCATTTATCCAATTTTTTAATTTTCATTTTATGAACTTACATTAATGCTTCTATGTAAAAGGTATTTATTGTCTCTGCCCTCTTCACACTCCGCCTTTTTCTGCAAAATCACAAACAATACAGTTTAGAAAGTGGTAATTCTCTCTCTAATATACTGTATCTGATTTGCTCAGCTGTTATGTCATGAGTCAGACCTAAGATGTTCCCTCAGCGTCTCCTCCGTTCAGAAGTGGGGGTTTGGGAAGGTGACTGGATCGCGGGGATGTTACACTTCCCCGTGGGTTACGTCATTGTGAGTTCATAGCTGAATGTGTTATTAGAATGCAGGGCCTGGCTGTAGGCGGTGCGCCACAGAAAGTGTAACCTGGAAGCTTACATTCCCTGCTCCTGCTCTCTCTGTTTCTGTCCCCCGGGTTTGAACAGCTTCTCCCTGCCGCATTCTTCCACCATGCTGATCCTGCCTTGGCGATAGCAGCCTGAGTGAACCCTCTGGAACTGTGAGCCAAATCTCTTCTTTAAGTCACACGTGTCAGGTATTTTGTCCCAGTGTCACAGTATAAAACCGCGGCTGCATCGGGGATAAAGATTACTCACAGACAAGATTTAATTCATTCACCAAGAACTCAAGGGGCTGCTTCTTAGGCATAAGAGAGACTCAAGGGAACAGCAACCAGCTGAGACCTTTGCACTTATTTATTTGTATGTCAAGGACATGAGAACAAAGATGTAGAAGAAAAGCGTTCTGCAACATACTGTATAGGAGGTTTTGTAAAGGCCAGGGCCAGAATGGGATGGCTTGTTGCATGGCTCATGTCAACCTAGTTTAGGCAGTCTTATCAGGGCAGAGGGAACACATTGTCCAAGGCAAATATCTTTAACAGTAACTTGCTCTGATGCTGACTGTTGTCCTGTAGATTTTGCGCTGAACTCCAAGCAGGCATTCCAGGAGCGTGAGAACTGTTGTTCCCCAAGGCCCCTTCCTCAGTGCACTCAGGTCCAAATGCTCCTTTGGCCAGAGTCTGTCCACATCCCAGGGATAGAAGAATGACCAACATAAAATGTAATTAGACTGTTGCATTAAAAGTAACTTCATAATAAATTATTTCATTAAATCATAATACTTGGTTGACTTTACAATGAATGTTTGAATTAATTCAGAGGAAATGCAGAAACAGGCAGTACTGTCCAATAAAATTAAATGGTTCAAAACTGCTTTTATCCAAGCTGAAGTAACAGCAGAGTAGATAGGCAAGGTACACTGCTCAAACTCTGCCCACTGGCGGGATTTCCCTTCACCACTGTCATACATGGATGCCCCCAAAGAGGCCATAGTGCTACAGCTGTGCACTTCACGGTGGTGGCTGTATACCGTGTAGAAGCATCTCCTCGAAGCTCACATCTAGCAACTGATGATAGGAAACTCCCCATGAGGCAAGAGGTGCAGGCTGGCAGAGGGCATTGTAGCTAGAATAAGGACTATAAGCATTAGGCTACTCCATGTCACTTGTGTATCCATGGCCTGCCTGGGCTCGATCACATACATACCACTTCCGTTTAGTGGTGGGGTGTGGCTGTGCATGTCCGACTTTATGGCTTGGTCCCTCAGACAGCACCCAGCTCGTGAGTGGCAGCTCAGGCTGCATGATAACTAGCTGTTCCTTGGGGAAGTGTAAAGTTTTTACAAAGGCCCACTAGTAAGCTGAAAACCTCAGAACAGAGTATCTGCAAAGGGTAGCAGGGTTTGGCTTCAACATCCTAAGGGCCTATACTGTGATTCATTTACAGGGGTCTAGGAACAGCTCCAAAAGGCAGAACAAGCAGCTTTACAGCAGTCTATATCTGTTGCAGAGCTTCCTTCTATTCTGGACCCCACTCAAAACGCAGCTTTCTGGGTCACTCAGTGTAGCCCACCATGACAAAACCAAATGAAAATGCATCACCTCCACTATCCAAAGGAGAGTACTGTGCATTGCATCTTGGTTGTAGAAAGGGTAAGATAAAACCAGTTGCCGTTTACCTTAGAAGAGTTATATCAGCATGCCCTTTACCACCCAACCCTTGGGAATTCTACTAGGTCATAGGCCCTTGAACTTTTGTCAGATTTATTTCTGACCTCCTGACATGCAAATGTCTTAGCAGTGCGTCTGTAGTAGTTGCTACTTCTGAGTGAGGCCAGTCAGCATAATGTCATCAGTGTAACAGGCCAGTGTAATATCTTGCAGAAGGAAAAGGTGATCAAGGTCACTGAGTCCTAAATTATGACAAAGGGCTTGAAAGTTAATGTACCCCCTGAGAAAGGACACTAAAGTTGTATTGCTGGCCTTGCAAACTCCTGGTCCCCTTTACAAACACAGATGGAGAAAAATGCATTTTTCAGATGAATATTTGCAAACCAGGTATCAGGGGCTGTATTAATTCACTTAAGCTGTGCAACCACATCTGTAATTGGAGTTTCCACCTAGTCATTAGCCAAGATCCGCCATCTTGCTTATAGGTTTAGGAGGTGAGTTGAATGGGGATGTGGTGGGAATTACCACCCCTGCATTTTTCAAGTACTTTTCCACGTTAGCTCAGCAGCACAGTGCCTGCCTGGCAAGTGCGAGGTCATGAGTTCGATTCCTGGTACCAGAAAGAAGAAATAAAAACAAAAACAAAAAAAAGATAATGAAAAAGTATTATACATACAAGCATGTATAATACATAACATTGGATAATAAATGTGACTTACTGGTTTCTATATTTACAATACTATACTGAATACTAGTTTTTAAAGAGTGTGCTCTTTGTAAAAGAAATGTTGATGCAAAACTGCCATGTAGCCATGTGCGGTATGGGGAGTACTCAGACTTGTAAGTTCAGTGTCAGCCTGAGTAATTCAGCAAGATCTCATCTCAGACCAAAAAAAAGAAAAGTCCAGCAACATGCTATGTTATGCTGGTACAGCTTCATACAAGAAGCCCAGTCAAGCCGGGCATGGTGGCACACACCTGTAATCCCAGCCTGTGGGAGGCTGAGGCAGGAGGATCATTGTGATTTTGAGACCAGCCTGGGCTACAAAGTGAGCTCAAGGCCAGCCTGAACTATATGGTGAGACCCTGTCTCAAAAGATAAAAAAAAAAAAAAAAGCAAGAAACCTGGTAAAGTGATTTTCCGATAGTTCAAGGTTGCTTTAACTACACTTGATAATGTTTGTACAATGGTAAAATTGTCTAATGACATATTGCTCAGGATATATCCCTGCTGTGAAGCTATCTATGGCTATATTTAATTAAATAATTGCATGAGATATGCGGTACTTTATCATAAAATCAACTTCGTTAGATGATTTTGCCCAACTGTAGGCTAAGTATTTTGAGCATTGGTTTTTAGGAGATGAACCCACAGAACAATCTTAATTTTATCCTTTTTTTAGTACATGTTTATTATTGGTACTGGGAATCAAGCTCAGGACCTTGTGCTTGTGGGCAGGCACTTGTGCCACTGAACTATATCCTTGGCACGTTACTACATGTGTGCAGCACATAATGATTACATTTTCCATGAGGAGTTGATATATGTACACAACATTTTAATTCTGTTCACATCCCCTTCTCCTCCCTTCCATCCAGGCTACATTTTCCCTCTCCTCTCACCTCCTTCTATCTTTTTGTTCTTTTCTCCTATTGTCTTTTATTTTGCTCCTTATTTATATTTTGAGATTCTCAGATAAGAGAAACGATATGATATTTAAGCGTATGTGTCTGGTTTATTTCAGGTGACATTATGATCTCAAGGAGCATCCGGTTTCTACAAATGACTCACGTTTATCCTATATGGCAGAGTAGCACTCCACTGTGCATAAATACCATATTTTCTTTATCCATTCATCTGTCCTAAGGTTAAAGGTGGCACATTATTTATTCTTATGGTATGTCATATCCATTTTGTCTTGGATGATATTACTGTTGATTTGCTTTTAATTGCCAGGATTGCACAGTTCTTGTTCTTAATACCTTTTTCTATAGTCAGAAATAATAGCAGAAAACTTTCCAAATGTTGGAGAAGAATTAAACATACAGACACCAAAAAAAAACGAAAACAAAACATACAGACACCTACATGAGGCATATAGAACTCCAAATAGCCACGATCAAGAAAACCTCTCCACATCATAGTCAAAATACCAAAGTCCAACACAGGGACGTACTTTAAAAACTGAAATTCCAAGGCCAGGCATGGTAGGACACACCTGTAATCCCAGCACTTGGGAGGCTGAGGCAGGAGGATGTCGCAAGTTTGAGACCAGCCTGGGCTACTAAGTGAGCTCAAGGCCAGCCTGAACTATACAGTGAGACCCTGTCTCAAAAAGACAAAAAAAAAAAAATTGAAATTCCATTTGACCCACCTATTCCTCCTTTTATGTACCTTCCTGAAAGAGTTAAAGTCATCATATTAGTGCTACATTCATGCCCATGTTTAGAGGAGCACATCTCATAATAGCTAAATCTTGGAAGCAGCATATATGTTCTTCTAGAAACATTCTGGATCCTGAAATCCACATTAGAGTTCTCCAAAGAAACAGAGCCAGTAGGTGATATATAGACAAGGCAATGTACTATGAAGAACTGGCTCATACAACTACAAGTACTGAGAAAACCCACAGTTTGCCATCTGTAAACTGGAGAAGCAGGAAAACCTGTGGTGCACATCAGTGGTCCAAGACTGAAGGCCTGAGAACCAGGGGAGGTGTGATTCTGCATGGAAAACACCAATGTTGCAGCCAGTGTTTGCTTTTTAAATTGCTATTCAAAAGTCCCTTATACACCTGGCTGGGGTTGTGCGTATCTGTAATCTGAGCACAGGGGAAGCTGAGACAGGAGGATCACAAATTGAAGCCCAGCCTCAGCAATTTAGTGAGACCCTGTCTCAAAATAAAAAATTTTTAAAAGGCTAGGGATATAGCTAGACCTGGAAGCCCTGGGTTCAATCCCCAGTAACCACTTTGCTCCCCCTGAATTCCTTATATAGCGTTGGAATTAGCACTTTATCTCTCATGCCTCACGTATATTTCCTCCCAGTTTGGCTTTTGACTTGGTTAATTATCATTGTTATTGTTGTTATACAATTATAAAAAAGTGTGTATAGTCTATTGATATTTTCCTTTTGGTTTCTAAATTTCATGATACATTCATCAAAGGCTTCCATATGCCAAGATTATTTTACACTTATTTATTTATTTATTTTTGGTTTTTGAGACAAAGTCTCACTATGTAGGTCAGGCAGGCCTTGAACTCACTGTAATCCTCTGCATGAAGCTCCTGAGTACTAGAATTAAAAGGGTGTGCCACCACCCCTGGCTCTGTGTTTTTTTATTTTCTTCAGTACTTCAGGGAGTGCTGAGATATGGTTTACTTAAATTATCCCTGGTGAGCTCAAACTTGCTATTGTCCTGCCTCAGCCTTCTGAGTAGCTGGGGTTAGAGTTGTACACCACCATGCTCATATCATTAGTGCTTTTGTTCTACTCTTAGTTTAACACTCCCTCTCCCCTCCTCCTGCCTCTATACTGGGGATTAAACACAGGGTCTTCCACTATATCTTCAGCCTTTCTTTTTTTTTTTTTTTGAGACGGTCTTCCCAGAGTGCCAGTTTTGTACAGTAGGTACATGCCACTAAGTTTTGTACAGTAGGTACATGCCACTATGTGTGGCTAGTATAACTTTTTAATCCATCAAGTATTTTTGGGCCAGGGATATAGCTCAGCGGCACAAGTCCCTGCCTGGCAAGCATGAGGTCCTGAGTTCGATTCCTGGTACAAAAAAAAAGTATTTTAACACAAGTGAACTAAGAATCCTTAAAGCCTTAAAGATAAGCAAAAAAAAAAAAAAAAAAAAAATCACTGTTTAGCCATTTATCAACTGATGGATGTTTCTTTCCAGTTTTAGGCTATTTTGAATTTAGCTGCTGTGAATATTCATGTGTAAGTCTTTATGGATCTATGCTCTCATTTCTCTTTGCTATGCACCTGCAAGTAGAATTACTGGGTCATGGGACAAGGCATGTTTAACTTTATTTAAAAACTGTAAACAGTTTTTTGAAGTGGCATTTTTATTTTATGCTCACAGCATGAAAGAGCATTCTAGTTGTTCAAACTGCTTATTAGTGAAGGAGTTAAGAATATGCCACCCTGGCATACTGACGATTTTGAGATGAAGGAACTAACTTACAAAACAGCAGATGCAACATCATTTTGACCTTCCTTCTGTTTCTTAAAACCTGGAGATGAAATTCCTGTGTGACAGATGCTCTCTATCTTTGAATGAAAGTGACACTTCTTATTATCATGGGTGGGAAGTTGAAGCCAAGAAAATTCAATGTAAAATACTTATTAAAATAATTCATATCTGAGCCTCATCTCTTAATTAAGTTCTTTTTCACAACTTACTATTCTTGCATAATTCAGTGTATAAATGTTGAGCTCTGGGTCTTTGGGTCTTCAGGTCCTTTTTAGGGCACCTGTGAATTAAGTAAATTTATAAGGTCTTTTCCTGTTTTATGTCAATTTAATTCACAGGCCCAGTTGAAAATTCTTTAAGGGTAGAGGTAAATTTTTTTCTCCCTTCCACTAGCATTTGATATTGTCAGTCTTTTTTATTTTTTTAGTCATTCTGTTAGATATGAAATTGGTATCTCATTGTGTATTAATTTAACTTGCATCTCCCTGACATTGAGCCTCTTTTTTATATGCTTACTGACTGTTATGGCTTGTATTGCGATGTCTCCACAAAGCCTCCTGAGGTCGTAGGTGGGGTTTTTCAAAGGTGACTGGATCTAGGTGTGTGATACTGGGATTAAGGGTGTGATGCTGGGGTAAATGGTATGATGCTAGGACTAAGGGTGTGTGGATTAGTCCACTAATTGGTTAAGCATAGTTGTCATGGTTTGGGGAATATTTTGCAAGGGGAACAATAGGACACATATTTTATAAGATTATTTACAATAGTTACCCAGAGAATCATATACAAGAGAATGCAGGATATCTGTCCACACACTAAAGACCAAAGAATCTTAACCAGCTAAGGGCCTGGATCCCATGATAATGTCCTGCATGAGTCCAGCTGAAGACCTAGAGCTCATAACAATACCTCATGCGGGCCTGTTTCACAGATCTGTGCTAGTAAATCTGTGCCAGTGGGATGAAGGATCTGTGCTAGCAGGCTGAGAGATCGGCACTCGAGCCAAGAAGTGATGAGCAAAGTAAGAACCACAGCTCCCCTGAAAGGTACCACAGCCATCCTCAGCAACAATGAGGTCCCGAGCTCCTCTGATGATGAGGAAGGCCGAGTTCCCATCAAGAAAGCCAATGCAACAAGCTTCCCCAGGAGACTGAGCTGCGCACCTTCTTTCCCTCTGGAGCCAGGAAGCAATTCTCGGAGTGAGGACCAGAGCTCCCCCAAAGTGAACCAAAGCCATTTTCTGTGACTTGGACAAAGGGAACAGCTGAGTTCATCAGAAAAGCCAGCGTGACAAGGTCCTCCAAAAGAACCAACAGCGCCTACAGCTTCTCTCATCTCCCACCAGGTTCTACGGACTCCTAACAGCCTTTCTTCTTCTTCTGCAGTTCTACCTCTTATGCTGCTGGCACAGTCCTCAGGTGGGCCTTTCATACCCAGGACCACACTTACTCATTTCAGCTGGGGGTTACAAATTGACCACTAGTTTTCAATCCACTACAGTTGTTTGGGTGTGGATGAGAAGCTCCACCCTGGGTGTGATACAGCCTGGGTGGTGTAGAAAGGCAGGCTTTGCTGCTGCTGTTTGCTACTGCCTGCTGCCTTCTGCCTGCTCTACCATACACCATGGACTGTTTCTCTGTGTGATGCCCCTGTGCCATGCCACCCTGCCTCACAGCCAGCCAACTATGGATTAAAACCTTTACAAACTGAACCAAATAAACTTTTCTTCCTTTAAATTTGGGTGTCCTGTATTTTTGTCTCAGCAATAGGAAAAGTAACAGAGACACTGACCATTCTTATATCTCCTTTGTGAATTGTCTGTTAAACAGTTTTGTCTAAGCCAGGCATGGTGGTACCTACCTATAATCTCAGCACCTGGAGGTTGAGGTAGGAGGATTGCTGCGAGTTCAAGGCTGAACTACAATAGCAAGACCCTGTCTCAAAAAAAATTGTTTTTGTCAATTTAAAAAATTGTTTCATTACCAAGTTGAAGGAGGTTTTTTTTTTTTTCTTTCTTTTGTCTTTTTGAGACAGGGTCTCACTACGCAGTCCAGGCTGGCCTTGAGCTCTCTTTGTAGCCCAGGCTGGTCTCGAACTTGCAAGGATCCTCCTGCCACAGCCTCCCGAGTGCTGGTATTATAAGTGTGCGCCATCACGCCTGGCTAAGGGGTTCTTTAAATATTCAGAATACAAGTTCTTTTCAGATCTAGGTATTGAAATTATTTTTCCCAGTCTGCAATCTGCTTACTCATGTCTATAATGGTGTCTTTTTATTATAGACAGCTAAATTAGATAGAAATTAACTGGTAGGCAGACAAGAATTGGGCCTTTGAAGGAGTCACTGGAAATTGTGGCTGGAGGCAAATCTAAGAGAGTGAGGCCCCAAGATGGAGATGCAGTAGCCAGGCCTGCAAACCTCTGAGATATCACAGCAATTTGGGATTACACTGTGATTAGCAGTGTAGTGGGGCCCAGACAGGCATCGGACACAGAGATGGGTTACCAAAAGCTGGGCACTCATCCCTTCCCCAAAATGCCTTCGTTCTTTCTTTCTTTTTTTTTGCTTTTTGAGATAGGCTCTCACTGTGCAGTTCAGGCTGTCCTTGAACTCCCTTTATAGCTCACATTGGCCTTGAACTCTCAACGATACTCCTGCCTCAGCCTCCCGAGTGCTGGGATTACAGGTATGTGCCACCACGCCCAGCTGTTCTTTATATTTAGAATTTATAGATGAGCCAAAGTTAATCATGCTAGCTAGCCATAAACCCTTGCCACGTGTCTCACTTCCCTACTGGATCAATATAGCTAAGTAACTATACTTATAATCCTATTGGTTGATTGTAGTTTGACCCACATTGTACTCATGTCGCGATTTTGCTCTATTTAATATTCTTGGAGCTCAGGAGGCTGAGACAGGAGGATTGCTGCAAGTTGGAGGCCAGCCTAGGCTACACAGAGTTCAGGGCCATCCTGGACTACACAGGGAAACCGTGTCTCAATTAAAAAAAAAAAGCTGGGGGTGGTGGCTCACACCTGTAATCCCAGCACTCAGGAGGTGGAGGCAGAAGGATTGCTATTAGTTTGAGGCCAACCTGGGCTACATTGAGGCCAGCCTGAACTGCATAGTGAAACCCTGTCTCAAAAAAACCAAAACAATAAGAAAACAATTCTTAGACAAACAGTCTGTGCAGCCACCTATTTGCAGACTCCTCCTGTCTCTCATGAGCTTTCTCTGAGTAGACCTTCCCTATTCTTACCTCCTTTGTCCCGTAGTGATACAGGAAAATAAAAACTCCCAACCTGAATGATATCTGGGACAAGTTCATATTCTCTAAAATCAAAGAATAGGGGCTGGGGATTTAGCTCAGCGGCAAAAGTGCCTGCCTGGCAAGCGCAAGGTCGTGAGTTCGGTTCCCGGTACCGGAGAAAAAAAACCAAAAAAAAAAAAAAAAAAAATCAAAGAATGAATTTTAGGAACAACAGAGGCTAACAGCAGAATATATTTATTGAGGGAAAGAAAGCTTCTGTCCAAGAGAGGGACAGAAGGAGGGCCCAGAGTGCGTTACCCAAGACTCTGTCTTTTCTAGGGACTTTTATAGAGCAAAAACAAGAGGTGAGGTGGGTCCAAGGTAGGGGAAAAATGGACAAAACTATGGTCAGCCAGTAAGAATTGTTCAGGTAAAATTGATTAAATTGGGGTCAAATGCGTAGCAAGCGGGCATGAATACAGAACAGGGCTTTTCCTGTAAGGGGTTGTGTCAAGGGACTCTTCAAGGTGATGACTACCTGTTTAGAATATCAATCCCTGATGTCCATCCCTAGGGAGGTATGTGAGTGCGTCTGTTTAATCTTCAGTCTTGAGATCTGGCCCAAAGCAAGTACCACCTCTCCATTTGTAAGGTGTATTGTCTTCCATACCGGCTCCTTCTAGGGCTTGGCCCTGGCTGACTGCCTCTAATATTTCTATCTAACTCAGCTGCCTATAACAGTAGTGTTTATTCTTCCATATTCAGGGGACATGAACTCGGCACATCTAACAAGCAGAGAGTTATCCCCCTCCCACATCTATTAAGGTTTTTTTTATTTTAATGAATATTGATTTTTAGAAGCTGTGGTTTTGATTTCTCTGTTGAATCTAAGAAATACTTTTAGAAAGAAATTATGCCCATTTTTTTCTGTGCTTGCTTAATGTTTTATCTTTTCCACCTTGACCATGCTAATTTAGTAATTAAATTTAATTAATTAATTAATTTTGCACTGCTGGGGACTTGAACCCAGGACCTCATATATGCTAGGTGAGCTCTGTGACAGAGCTACAGTCCCAGCCCTGATAATGCTAATTTTAGACATGTATTTAAATGCAAACACCAAAAAATGTTCTTCATAATTTATAGACCCTCTGAATGCCTCATACAGGTTGCATATGCTGTATATTCTTTTTTTTTTTTTTTTTTTTGTATTTTTGAGACAGGGTCTCACTATGCTGTTCAGGCTGGCCTTGAGCTCACTTTGTAGCCCAGGCTGGCCTCGAACTCTCAACGGTCCTCCTGCCTCAGCCTACTGAGTGCTGGGATTACAGGCATGTGACACCACACCCGGCTATGTGCTGTATATTCTAAATGGGTAAAAGACCAAGCGTTAAGAGATTTTTTTTTAGCTCAATTTGAATGGCAAGTTCTGTTGTTTTCTAATTGGTACAAAGCCATAATCTAGAGCAGTAATTCAGTGCTTAGCTGAGCACATTTATCATCGTCCAGATTGTTAAAAATGGAGAAGTACACTTGACTCAGAGAGTGACTTCGTTTTGCAGGCTTTGTGATGCACCTAAGTCCTTAATATGCCTGGCTAACCTTAGGGCTACTCCACCTCCCATTTTTTTGTCAGAGGGCTGAAGAATGTGCTAATGGAAATTCTTTCCTGGTACTGAGTTTCTACCAGAGGTTTTTTTTTTTTTTTTTTTTTCTTTCGTTTCTTTCCTGGTATTGAATTAAGAGATCATTGAGCTAAGTCCTCAGCCCTTTTAATTTTGAGAGAGGGTCTCACTCAGTTGCCCAGGGTGCTCTTCAATTTAAGATCGCCTGCCTCAGACCTCTGAAATAGCTGGGATTTCAGCGTGGAGCCAGGTGCATTGGGAAGCTCTGGGTGGGGGAAGGGATTGAAGCATTTTAATAAATATATTTTGTTATAACAAGATGTGATTGAACAAAATATTTCAGAACAGCAAACAATTGCAGGGACTGTGCGCTTCCCAACTATTGGCTCATTCTTTCTGCAAGAGAGAATTTTTGTAGGTTTAAAAAAAATTAATAGGGGATTCCGCCATATGGTTTTGTAAGACTCCTCACTGGATCGGGAATTAAACATGAAACTTCTCATTGGGTATTTTCGAAACTACCACAGGGAATCAGCTGCCAGCTTACTGCACGGTGGAAAAGTGCACGAGATTCCGGGATTGGAATCAAAATGCTAATTTAAAAGGTCAAGTGGAGCGGCGCCTCACGTTTTGCCGTGCTTGAGCTCGGAGCGGGCGGAGCAGACAAAGAACCGGCCAAGGAGGGTAGACGCCGAGGCTCATCCGATTCTCTTTTCCCGAAATCTAGTCATGCCTGAAATGCCACAGGACATGGAACAGGTAAGAGCTGCTGACTGGAGAAAAGCAGCATTCTGGAGTCAGAGCTGCTTTGAAAGCGTTCCAGCAGGCGCCTGGTAAAAAAAGCAGAATGGATATGTAAAGAGAACACCAGAAACGGGCGGCATTCGTGGACTTAAAACATAACCTTAGGACACCGTAGACCAACTTGAGTTACTGACTCAGGAACTGACTAAAATGCAAAACAGATAAGCAGTCTCACTTACCGAATTAAGCCCAATGGTGTGTGAAGCGTCCGTGTAGGTCGGGATTTTTGTCGATAGTAGTGCGTTCCAGCTTTTGTATTTCTGTGAGTTGAATCTGCTAACCTAACCTGAGCTCCAGGCTGCTTCCTTGGCTACCAGGTGAAGCTGCTAAAAGATCTCTGTAATAGAGATCTTTAATGAACAGAGGCCTTTATCCTCATTCAAGAAAATGATTCAAACCGTAATCAAGCATACGCCCTAGAACTATATCCAACTTTTTACCGAACCAGTATCAAATCAGATTCTTAAATGGTGGGCAAGCAAACTTGTTCCTTCTTCAAAGCTGCTTTGAGAATCAAAATGCTAGTTGCTTATGTAAGTCCTTGAATCTTCCTGTAGAAAGCAATTTTTAATTCCTGCGTTTTAAGTGAGGAGGGTGAGGAGTGTTGGATCCGTTCCCTGCTCCTCCGTTTTCTTTGTTGTCTGCACTTTATGCTTGCTTTGTGCGGGCAGCCCACAGCCATCGCTTAAGGAACGCTGAATTTTATGATCTGTAACAGCCAGGATTAAAAAAAAAAAAATCAGAAAAATGGAGACCCCCGGCAGCCTTATGTTTCTGTGGTAGAGAAACTCTTACGTTTGCACGAATGAGGAAGTAAGCTCTTTGGGGGTTGGGAAAGAAGAAAAGTCAGGAGACTTTGACATTGAAAAACCTTTTTAAAGGTTGCTTAATCTTTAGCTCCAAAATAAACCAAGGAGTAAGGAAATAGGCCTTAGGAAATTCCAAGCCGAGGTCACGTTTGTGGCCAACTTTTCAGTCTCCTGTTCTGTGGGAGTGCGGACGAGAACACTCAGACTGTCGGGTGAAAAGTGGGCACACACGGGGTCTGTGCCGGGTTTTTTCCCCATGTAAAAGTTCCCAGCACGGCTGGCGGGGGAGGCTTCTTGAACTTTTGAACTGTAGGGAATCCAGTGCGTGGTTGGAGGCTCCCTGGCCCCGGGGTGCTGATTTACTCCGGTGCGGGCGAGGAGCGCCCGGCTTGATTTTCTGTGCTTCCCAAGGCTTGGGTGGCGGCTCTGATCCGGGGCTCCCCTAAATCCACCAAAAAGTAATGTCAGGGGCTCTCCTACCACAGTTTCTCCTTCCGTGAAAGTTTGATTGTTTGTTTGTTTGTTTGTTTGTTTTTGTTTTTTTGTCTTTTTGAGACTGGGTCTCACCATGCAGTTCAGGCTGGCCTTGAGCTCAGTTTGTAGCCCAGGCTGGTCTCGAACTCAGTGATCCTCCTGCCTCAGCCTCCTGAGTGCTGGGATTACAGGCGTGCGCTGCCACGTCCGGGTCGTGAAAGTTTGAGAGTCTACGTTTTCCACAGATGCCCAGATGATTCACCTTCCTCTCTCCCACACCTTTTTAATTAGTTGAAAATAACTTTTCACATTCTTATAATTTCATGCTGTTTTTAGGATACCAGAACGCTGTTTTTAGGATGCCAAAAAACAAATAGTTCTGGAGGTGTTGATGACTCAGATGCCAACACTTCTATTTTTATTTCCTCGCCTCTTCCTAAACCTTTCAAAACCCACACCTAATTCTCTAGATAATGCTCTCCTTTTTCCCATTTCCTTTCCTCTCACCACCCTTCTCTTCAAAAATGTTTCATTCTACTTTATATATTACATGCTGTTTTTTATGCATTGAGCGCAGTGTGAAAACTTGAAACTGTGATTCAGTTCAGTTCTTTCGCAGTTAAAAAAAAAAAAATCTTCCCAATCAAAGCTGTATTTACTGCTCGCGCTGCGCGCCTTTGTTGTGTGTACCACTTTAAGACTTGGCGCGTGGGCTGGGAGCGTGCCGCGTGCGCCCGCCCCTCTCCGAGGCGTCGGTGCAGCGTAGCCAATGAGCAGGCGCGGCGCTAGCGGCGGAAGCCGGAAGCGGCGAGCGGGGGTCGCCCTGGGCCTAGGGGAGGCGGGCCGAGGGCAGTGGCGCTGCGGTGCGCAGCCATCCTCGCCTGCGGGAAGTGCGGCCGGGCCCGCGGCGACGGCGGCAAGACGGCAGGCATGGTGGGGCGGGGGAAGGAGCTGTCCATCCAGTTTACCCCCGGGTGCTGCCGGCTGGTGGAGGTGAGGGGGTCGGCCGGGGTCCCCGCGGGAAGCTGGGCGCCGAGGGGTGCGGGCCCGGCAGCTCTGCAGACGCCGCCCGCCGGTGCAGGCGAGCCGCGAGCCCGGGGGAGGCGCCGGGAGTTTGCTTACCGCGGCGCGCGGGGGGAGGCGGCTCGCCCTGTGGGTCGGGCTGCTGTGTTTATTTCCACTTCTCGTTCTTCCGTCGGAGGCGGAGGAGGGAGGCTTTAAGTTGTTTCGCTTCTGATTATTTCCTCGTTGTCTTCTAAGGTCTTTCTCGACCTTAGAAGTTCGTAGTTTTGGGAAAGAAGGGGGAAAGGTGGTTTCTCGGAAATAACAGGATCGTAGCAGGCGCGTTTTGTGAATGCCCGTAAGGCGTTGCTCTAGTCCTCGCAGCTCTGAGATTCCGTCGCTCTTCCCCGTCCCGAGATGGGGAAGCCGAGGCGCGGAGGGTACGGCGCTGGCCCGAGCGTGTTCCGTACGATCGCAGCGGGGTTCCGGCTGCAGACCTGTTCGGCCGCCTCGGTCTCTGACGCGCTGCCGTTTGCGTGCGCAGGTCCGTCGTCGTCTGCATCCCAGCCCCCAGCGTTCGTTGGCCCCTAGAAATTACCCGGCCCTGGGCAGAAAACCGCTAGCGCCCAGACCAGTTTGTCTTACGCACAGATGAACATAGGAGATGGCTGTTTTTGTTCGTGGCGAAAATTACATGCTTCCCAAATGTAATGTATTTAGAGCTCTCAAGTCCCTTGGACTTAGGTAAAGTTAGATATATGCGCATACCTGGGCCTGTGTGTGCGCATAAAGCTTAATCCACTTTCACAGTAGGACTTCAGTAAAGAAATGAAAATGCCTTTGCGTGTTTTTCTTTGTTCAAGATGGTACATTTCAGAGCTCGGCACTTAACTTGTTGCTCTCTCAAAACCTGGACAGTTAAAACTCACTCCGAGAATGGGAGCTGTGATATAGCTGATGTTAGATACCACCTGGAGTGATCCTGAGGAGAACGAGATCTGTGGGGTACAGTGGGGTAGGAGTTAGACCATTCCCGCCTAAGCGCTGAGATCTTTCCAGGAATCTTTACAGTGTTTATCTTGTGTACATTCTTCTCTTCCCTCTCTCCTAGACTTGGCATGTTTTTTCATCCTTTCATTCAAGTTATGGTGGAGCTGTTTTCTTGCCAAAATTCAAAGACAGTATTTTGCTGGCTGAAATTCTTGTTTTCATTAATCAGCTGAGTTAGAGCCAGATGTTACAAGGCAGCCCACATGAAATTTCTTTTAAACTTTTAAAAAAGTGTGTTGAAATTGGTTGAAGCAGGAAGTAATGTTTAAGAATTTACTTTTAGGCGGGCGTGGTGGCGCACTCCTGTAATCCCAGCACTCCGTAGGCTAGGCTGGGGGAATCGTTGCAAGTTCAAGACCAGCCTGGGCTACAAAGTGAGCTCAAGGCCAGCCTGAACTGCAAAGCGAGACCCTATCTCAAAAAAAGAAGAAAGAATTTACTTTTATACTGAAATTCGCTATGAGCCCTTTCATTTTAGGCTTTTGTATGCCAGAAATACAGATTTTGGTGTCCTTTAAACAAGCACATTTGACTGCTAAGTAAAATAAGGGCTAAAAAGTAAGTATTGTCTTATTGTATATATAAAGCTTTTGACAGTTTAGAATTAGGTGACCATAGCAACCCTTGAAATAAAAAGCTCAAAGGTGGTAAAATGTAATGAAACTTTTTTTTAACAGTAAAAGTTCAAGGTCATGAGTTCGGTTCCTGGTACCAGAGAAAAACCAAAAAAAAAAAAAAGAAAAAGACACCATAACAGTAAAAGTTGACTTTTTTAAGAGTCTTGGAGGAAACTAATGTTACTTAGGAAGAGGGAGATGTTTTGAAACTGTGCCTTGGATATAGAGATTTAAATTGTTTCTGAAATCATGGTGCTTTTAAATTTCTATAAAGAAGTTTTCTTTGTCACAGTAACAACCTTGGTAGTGAATTTTGAAATATTTTTTCCTTTCTCTTCCTGTTGATTGCTCTTAGTATAGATATTTATTGTAAATTTGGAGTTTGCTCAGGAACATGTATCATTTGGTCAAGCTTAGCATGTTGAACTGCGTTGTAAGGAACAAATTAACTTCTCTTACATAAGTTCTTCTGAAATTTTGACTAATTCTCAGACCCATGGAAATACAAGAAATCTTTTTGTTTTGTGGTGCTGCAGATTGAACCCAGAGCCTTTCATATGTAGTCAAGAAGTCTACCACTGATCCACATCCTCAGCCTTAATAAATCATTGACATTTGAAAGAAAACTTGGAAGTAAAAACTGAAACTTAAAAATGTTAATTTGTGCCATAATCATATTGGGAGATATAACCCAAATGCTTAATCAGACTGTAAGACCAGCTTAAAACTTGTTTGCTTGGTTTTTTTTTGAGACAGTCTTTACTCTGTAATTCAGGTGGCCTAGAGCTCACTGTGTAGCGCAGGCTGGCCTCCAAACTCTCGATAATCCCCCTGCCTCACCCTCCCAAGTGCTGGGATTACAGGCATGTGCCAACATGCGTGGCTGAAAGTTGTACTTTTTTTTTTTTTTTTTTTTTTTTGGTCTGACACAGGGTCTGGCTAAGCAGTTCAGGCTGACCTTGAGCTCACTTTGTAGCCCAGGCTGGTCTGGAACTCACAATGATCCTCCTGCCTCAGCCTACTGAGTGCTGGGATTACAAGCATGCGCCACCACGCCCCACGCAAGTTGTCCATTTTTATAAACAGAAGAGCAACATTTTTGTGTATTATTTATTTGGATATCATTAATGTAAACATAAAGCCTTTCTTTTGTTTTGGTACTGGGAATCAAACTCAAGACCTCTGCACTTGCCAGACAAGTGCTGGCCCACCCAGCTAAATCTGGCCCCAAACTTTCCTTATTGACTAAAACCCAGTACCAAAGTAATTATCTGAAGTATCATTTTACATTGTTTTTCTTGAGATTATTGAAAGGGTCAGGTAATGCAGTTGTTGATGTAGTTTATGCTTTGTTCTAACTTTAGAATTGACCTGGAGAAATGTGGCATGAATCAGAAAACTCAGACTTGAGGTATTCAGTGAACAATGATGGTGACTCGTTTCTTGAGGAAGAGTACTTTCAAAGTAAAGTAGGTTTTACCTTTTCACCTTTAGGACGAAGTGAACCTCCCCAGCAGGCGAGTTCTGGTTACTGGTGCCACCGGGCTTCTTGGCAGAGCTGTGTACAAAGAATTTCAGCAGAACAACTGGCGTGCAGTTGGTTGCGGTTTCAGAAGAGCAAGGCCAAAATTCGAACAGGTCAATCTGTTGGATTCTGAAGCAGTTCATCACATCATTCATGACTTTCAGGTATGCTTTTATCTGTTTATTTTAATGTATGCATGGCTTATCCTAAAGACTGGGTGACTTAAAAAAATGTACCTGTTGAAGTCACTGTACATTAAAGTTCTAACATACTCAGCAGAAACAGTATGGAATACACTTCTTTTAGATTGGCAAAGTGTAAGTACTCCTTAAAAAGGTTGGCTTGTGGTATTGGTTGACAAAGACTGCAATATGAATCAGTTTTTTTTAAAAAAAAAACTGATATAGCTCAGTGGCACAGCACCTGCCTGGCGAGCATGAAAAAAACACAAAAAACAAAAAAACTGGTTTATGGATGGGTATGGTGGCACATGCCTGTAGTGATCCCAGCACTCAGAAGGCTGAGGCAGGAAGGTCACTGCAAGTTGGAAGTCAGCCTGTGTTAAGTAGTGAGTTCAAGACCACCCTGAACTACATAGTAAGACTGTCTCAAAAAACAAAATCAAACAAAACAACAAAGTGATCCTTTGGTTTATGAATTGGTTTGTTTTATTTTGTCTTTTTAAGATAGGGTCTTGCTCTACAGTTCAGACTGGCCTTAAGCTCACTTTGTAGAACTCACAGGGATCCTTCTGCCTCAGCCTCCTGAGTGCTGGGATTATAGGTGTGTGCCACCACACCTGGCTGGATTTTTTTTTTTTTCCCCGTGCTTGCTAGGCAGGTGCTGCGTCACTGAGTTATATCCCCAGCATCTATGGATTGTTTCCTAAGTAGTACTTATTGTGCAACTTTTGCTGAATTGCCCATACTGGGCTTGAACTTGCAGTCCTCCTGCCTCAACCTCCCAGAGTGCTGGGATTACAAATGTGTGCCCCCACACCCAGGTACTTGTCATATTAATCACATAAATGGCAATTCTTTTGTCCAGATTGGGAAGTGAAACTTGTTTTGAACAGAAATGGTTATTTTTTTCCCTCTTTTTTTTTTTTAAACAGGAATACTAAATTTTTCTTTATTTTTTAGGACGTACGTACATATTTTTAAGAACTTTGAACCCTAATGGGGAAAGAAAGATGATAGAACTATACTAAAAATTACAGCTGTGCACAACAGTGCATGCCTGTAATCATAGGGGCTTGGGGTGCTGAGGCAGGATTGCAAGCTCAAGGCAGTCCAGGCAATTTTGCAACGCCCCCTGGCAAATAAAAAGAGCTAGGGATATTGCTCCACTCCAGAGTCTGGGTTCAGTCCTAGACACTGGGTATTCTTAGTTGAAGGAAAGTTGATTTAAGGAACATTTTTCTCTGACTTTATTTAGGAAGGATGTATCTCTGTTTTATTCTGTTTTGGGTTAAAAATAACATCAGTGTTTAACTTTCAGCCTCATGTCATAGTACATTGTGCAGCAGAGAGAAGACCAGATGTTGTGGAGAATCAGCCAGATGCTGCTTCTCAGCTTAATGTGGATGCTTCTGGGAATTTAGCAAAGGAAGCAGGTAATGATGACTTTATAAAATCTTCATAAATTATGAAATAACCACTGAGTTTTTGAAGGCTAAAGTTTTGTAGATGACATATAAGAGATTTGTTCATTCAGAATAAAGTTTTCTAAATTCCACTGAGTAATATTATTTAAAAATTTAATAGACTTATCTTTTTGTTGTTGTTAGCTGCAGTTGGAGCCTTTCTCATCTACATTAGCTCAGATTATGTGTTTGATGGAACAAATCCGCCTTATAGGGAGGAAGACATACCAGCTCCCCTAAATTTGTATGGCAAAACGAAATTGGAAGGAGAAAAGGCCGTCCTGGAGAATAATTTAGGTAAGACAGCCTCTTTTGGTTTTTGTTTTATTTTATTTTTTGAGATAGGATCTTGTCTTGCTATGCAGTTCAGGCAAGTCTTGAACTGGCAGTGTAGCCCACGCTGGCTTCAAATTCATGGCCCTCCTCCTCCTCCAGCCTCCTGAGTGCTGGGATTACAGGCATGCGCCACTACGCCTGGCTTTCTGATTTGTTTTTGAGGACTGGTTTCTGGTTATGTTTTTAATTGAAAAAGACAAAGTATATAAGTAGAAATCGGAAAACAGCTAATAAAAAGGAAAGGAAAGAATTTTTAAGGTATTAAAGAATAACTGCTTTGTGAATTCTCAACTTTTTCCATTTTCAGTGTATACATACACATCTTTATAGATAGGAAACAAATCCTAAAGTGCTAATTTTTATAATTTACTTTCAAAAAGTAGTGCAATATAATTTCTCTCAGATTGAAGTGTTTTGCTAGATTAAGATCTTCTCTTACATTTGGTTTTTCATTTTTCCTGTATTTATTTGTGTATAAGTATATCCCCGAAAAAAAATTGTAAATTTAAAACTGTAAGAATGAAAGCCCTACCCCCAAATAATAATTTTTGAAATAGATTTTTAAAAAAGTGAACTCCTCTAAAATGCTGTCCAAGGCAATAAGCATAAAATGTGGTTTTGTATAGAAATGTTTTTATGTGTTAAAAAGGTATGCAGTTTGTCCCATAAACTCTGCTTTGCCCTGCATCTTTACACTTCATTATGTGTGGAGTTGGCTCTGAGATCTTCCCACCAGCAGGAGCCCAGTACTTGATTTGATGCTGTCGGCACTGAAACGAAGACTAGATTGTGTCATGTCCCTGTGAAGCAGCCCCTAATTTAGGGTACCCTACTGATGGACATTTACTTTGTAAATTTTTTTGGTGTTGTAAATTATCCGGCAGAACTGTATTCACCCAAGAATACATTTCTGTCTTAGTCTGCTCTGTGCTGATGGAATGGGATATGCAGAGGGGCTCATTTCTCACGGGTTTAGGTGTGGGAAGCCCAAGGTCAAGGTGCCAGCATGTGTGGAGGGCCTTTGTGCTGCTGGTCTCCACAGGACAGTAAAACGCGAGCAGAAAGGACGAGCTCCTTCCGTCAGACTGTGCTATAAGCTGGCGTTAATCTAAGAGGACGCAGCCCGAGGACCTAAACTTCTTTCAAGAGGACCCCCACCTCCCAGTACTGTTGCATCAGGGTTAAATTTTCAACATGGTTGTGTGGAAGACAGCATCCAAACTATAGCCATGTCTTGTTGTTTACTCATCCAGTAATTTAATTTAAAAAACAACAATTACTTGCATTTAAAATGCCAGTTATCCAAAGACCATTATACCCCCTTAGCACCAACTAATCTAAATTACCTTAAAATTCTTCATCATTGGTGCTAAGACAGTGTAAACCAGAAGATTAAGTACCATATGGTTTCTCTTACGTGAGAAACTCGAAATATAACGAGTAAAAGAAAGGCAGACCTTTTGGCAGTGGAAAAAGGGAAATGGGGAAGAGGAAGAGAGAAGATAGGAACGGGGAAAGGATTGAAAATGATCAAGATGCACTGCGTATATGTACCTATCCCCCCAAATGTTACAGGCCCTTCTAGATTCACCACTGGTTAAAGTTTGGCATGATTGTTGCGTATGTATATGCTCGCCAGACCTTTTAATATCTTTAACCGCAAAATACTTGAACAAGAACAAGAGTGTTACTGTGTAGTGTTACACTCAGGAAATTTAACATGAAGATAGTATTGTAATCAAATACAGAGCCTGTCTGGGAATTTTCCCTGTTGTCCCCAGAAATGTTCCTTATTGCTTTTATTAGGGTTATTCATGCCCCATGCTATGATATGTTTTATAACCATAACCATAACCTGTGTTATGATATGTTTTATTTTTAATAAATATATTAAAGTACAGATTGCATATGAAAGTATCCCAAATTATAGAACATATTTAAAAACACTGAGGGTCATAAGTGAGCTGTGTTATTTTGGCATATTTTGATTAAAATTCTGCCTGTGTGTGTGCAGGAGCTGCTGTTTTGAGAATCCCTGTTCTGTATGGGGAGGTTGAAAAGCTTGAAGAAAGTGCCGTCACTGTCATGTTTGATAAAGTGCAGTTCAGCAACAAGTCAGCAAACATGGACCACTGGCAGCAGAGGTTTCCCACTCACGTCAAGGATGTGGCCAGTGTGTGTCGACAGCTGGCAGAGAAGAGGATGCTGGTGAGGAAGACTTCGGAAGGGAAGGGTTTTGCTCTCCATCGTAGTGAAGGCCCGCTGTCTCTTTTATGCCTGACCTTTCGTCTCTAAACTTGAGTGTTTCAGAGGGAAAGTTGAAAGTACTTTTATAAAAAAACTTTATTTAAAAGTTTTCTTTTTTTAATAAAACAGACCAAAAATAGCATGCAGATAGTAAACTATATTCATGAGGAATGAAAATATTGCTTCCTGCATACGATAGACTCCAAAGTTTGTTTTATTGCAAGGAGTGAGAAACCTTGTCTGTGTTCTATAGGGAACAAATTCATCAGCTAATTTTTTTTTTTTTTTTTTTGAGACAGGGTCTCGCTATGCAGTTCAGGCCGGCCTTGAGCTCACTTTGTAGCCCAGGCTGGCCTCGAACTCGCAACAATCCTCTTGCCTCTGCTTCCTGAGTGCTTGGATTACAGGTGTGCATCACTACGCCCGGTTCAATGAGCTAATATCTTTTAAGATTTGTTTTTCAAATTAAGTTATACATAATGCCAAACAGGAATCTAAGTAGGGATTTGTCAGTTAAGCATATGAAGTGTGGCTAGGCTTGGTACAACATGCCTGTAATCCCAGCACTTGGGAGTTTGAGGCCATCCTGGGCTCCATAAGTGAGTTCAAGGGCACCCTGTACTACACTGTGAGTCCTTGTTTCAAAAAAGAAAAGAAAAAAGAATATGAGGTGTGATAAATACGGTGAAGGTTTAAAAGAGGTTTATTTCATTCAAAGACACTGCCATTAGTCCCCTCCTTAAAATACTCCTTGTTTTGAACACTTACCTCATTATTCTTTTGTTTTGAGGGGAGAACCGGGAGTAGAATTCAGGACCTCACGCTTGCCAGGCAGGGGCTGCACCACTGCACTAAATCTCTGGCTACATCATTGTTATTGTCACTTTCTGAAGCAGTTCTCAAGTCTTCTGTCATGGATGTGTTTAGTTCAACTGTCATGGCTGCCTTGATGTCTTGAATTGATTCAAAACTTCTATGTTTAGTGATTATTTTGACTTTTGGGAGAAGTCCCACGGTGCCAGATGCAGTGAGTAACGCGGGTTGAGGACATCCCACGAGCCAGTCTTCCTGCTGGGTGGCACACGGAGGCAGCGGTCACTGATTTTGTTATCATACCTTGTAAAGACACTCAGGGAAGAGTGTTTCCAGAACTGCCTCAGAAACTTGTGAGAATGGTGGGATAAGTGGCTTCAAAGTAAGGATAGAACTGTCTTGAGAGGGATTAATAGCAATGTGTCTTTTACTCTAGTTTTAAGAAATTGTATATTTTGATCACCACTTGGGAGTTAATTTTTTAAACATTGCAGAAAGTAGAATATCTGTAAGATCAGGGACTGATTTAGTGTATTAATATATATAACCAAATTTGCTTAATACATAAAAGTTTGTTTATACCTTTAGCTTATTTTGAAAAACGGTTCTATTAATGTTGCTTTTAGTTTATGATAATTTGAAATACTCTTTTTTTTTTTTTTGAGATAGGGTCTCACTATGCAGTTCAGGCTGGCCTTGAACTCATGTAGCCCAGGATCCTCCTGCCTAGCCTACTGAGGGCTGGGATTACAGGTGTGCGCCACCATGCCTGGCAACTCATTGAATTTTGGAGTGTGTTTTCATAAAAATGTGTAACATTTTTAGGATTCCCACTAATTGAGCAAAATTGGATCCCTTTAAATTTTTTTGCTTTAAGCATTTCTGTAAGGCTAAATTCTAAAAATTGTAAATACTGCTTTTATGTTTGGCTGGGGATTTTTTTGTTTGTTTTGTTTTGCTTTGTAAGACAGGGCTTCACTATGCAGTTCAGGCTGACTTTGAACTCACTTTGTAGCCCAGGCTGGCCTCAAGTTAGGGGCTATCCACTTGCCTTAGCCTTTCGAGTGCAGGTATTAACAGGTGATCACCACCATGCCCTGACTGGGAATATTTTTAGGAATTTTATATATTTGCTGGAGAGCTTTCCAGAATAGGACAGTTGCTTCATAGTTCTTTGACCTTTCAGATCAGCTTTACTGTCGAACCTGTCATCCAACTCAACTCAAAAATTTGAAACTGTATTGGATTTTTTGTGTCCTTGTTCTTAGGATCCGTCAATTAAGGGGACATTCCACTGGTCTGGCAATGAGCAGATGACTAAGTATGAAATGGCGTGTGCGATCGCAGATGCCTTCAACCTCCCCAGCAGTCACTTAAGACCTGTAAGTTCCTGGTATTTGAAACCCCCTGGCTTCTTGAAATTCCAGGTTCACCTGTTCAGTGTCTATTACTGATAATATTCTTTTGTGTATTTTGGGTATATTGGGTAACATCCTTTCTTTCTCAGCACTAATCATTGTGAACTTTGCTTGTGAACTTTCTAAACTGTTGGTCTGTGAAGACTGTAAGTATTGAAGGTTACAGAAAATACACTGTCTTGATGGCAGGCTTTTATTTTCCAGGGCTGTTCAAATTGGGGTTCTTGCAATAAGGGCCAAATAACAAAGCCTCAAGATGTGACTCTGTTCACTTTTCATTTCTTTGTGTTTATGTTTCTTTAAAGATTACTGACAGCCCTGTCATAGGAGCACAACGTCCGAGAAATGCTCAGCTTGACTGCTCCAAATTGGAGACCTTGGGCATTGGCCAGCGAACACCATTTCGAATTGGAATTAAAGAATCACTCTGGCCTTTCCTCATTGACAAGCGGTGGAGACAAACAGTTTTTCATTAGTTTATGTGTACTTGTGTTTTTTTGTTTTAATGAAAAGTATGGTATGTGGCACTTTTTAAAGAAAAAAAAAGGAAATAGTTTTGTATGAGTACTCTTCTGTTTGTGACTCAGTTTTTCAGGTAAATGATGCTCTTGCACTAGTGAAGGTGTGTAAAGAAACTCAAAGGGCATTGATGCCTGCCTTGTATGCATTAATGATTTTTCTCTTTTATCATTTTGTTCTGGCTTAATTTGAATAAAATTAAGATTCTTAAATATCTGAGAGCCAGAATGAAACAGATCTGCTGTAAACTTATTTTGGATGAAATGCATTGTTCACTCCTATAACTCATATTTTCACGGTTTGTTTTTGCAGCTGTTGACTATTGTATGTTGATTGTTTTCAAGTGTGTGAAGTTGTATAAAAATCATTGGTGTTCATTATTTGCTTGAGCTCAGATCAAATGTTTGAAGAAAGAAACTTTATTTTTGCAACTTAAGTACAATTTTTATGCTTGAGGTACTTCATGTTACATATAGCAGAATTTCTGCAGCCTGATGCCCCCTGCTTTTGTAGCAGTGTATGGTAAGCACTTGAGAGTATGTATGTGTATTTTTTTAATATAAATGTATAACTGTCCTTTTCACTCCATGTTGCTAAGTGATATTTCATACACGGTTATACTAATAATAACAACCCTTGTAAGTCTTGACCACTCATGAGTAATAAATATGTACTGTTGGCATGAATGCTTGGTTTCCTTGTGTTGAGTTATCCTCTTAAATGTAAGGACCGACGGTCTAATTTTTGTGTATGTGTGTGTGCATTAAATTATTTTTCCTGTGCTGGACATTGAACCCCGGGGTGATTTACCACTGTGCTATGTCCCCGGCCTTTTGTTTCGTTTTCGTTAAATTTAAGGCAGGGTCTCGCTAAGTTGAACAGCTTGGACCCGGAGTTTGCAGTCCTCTTGCCTTAGCCTCTCCAGTAGCTGGGATTACAGTTGCGTGCCACACACCTGGCTGGTTTCGTTAAAATGTAGTTCTTGTAACATCTAATGCCTAGGGAAAATATATTGAGGTAAAAGCACAATAAAATGACAGATGAGCCGCCACTTGAAATCTAGAATGTCAAAATACTGTACCTACTTGTATCAACTGATTCTTTAAAAATAACCATAGAATCTTGCAATCCGTTTACAGGAAGTGCCCTGTGAAGGAGTGCAGGGTCTGTGTACACTGTGTAACCCTCCGGGGACCTCACTGGGGAGGACACAGGTGCTGCGGGGATGCAGTGCGAAGGGCGGCCGCGCTCCACCGCTTGTAGGTCGTGGAGGGCTCTCCCGGGTAGTGGCCAATCCGCTCGGGCATGATCTCCACCTGGCTGAAGGTCCTGCAGTGGCAGACGCGTGCCGTGCTGCTGGGGCCGGGCCACCCTGTCCCGGTGTCCACCGCCTGCGGCTGCTCCGCGGGCCGCGCCGCCTTGGCCTTGCGCGGGCTCGTTAGCCGCTTCCTCCGCGGGCGGCCCTGGGAGCCTGCAGGGACACGCTACCGCCGGCCTTCCCGGGCGCTCCGCCGGCACGGCCAATGGGCCTTCCTCGTCCTGGGGTCCTGGGTGGCCCACACGGCCAGCAGGCCGGCCTCAGCAGCGGCCCAGAAGTTTGAGGCAGACGCCACAACTGTGGGACCCGCCCTGGGCCCCCACTGGACGGCTGGGCCCGCCTGCCACGACCAGCGCCGCGCCCCAGGTGACCTCAGTCTTGGTAGGTGCAGGAAGGCCGAAAGGTAGTGACTCGGACGACTTGGCACCGTGTATTCCGGGGCCGGTGCAGGGACTTTGATTTCACTTTGGAAATACGTTCCCACAGTATGCTGTTACTGTCTCACTGGATTCAGTGTTCGTTTCTAACTTGCAGATTTACGGAGGATTAGAGGAGATCAGATTTGTGTAATTTGGTTACAGTAGCAGTTTTAGAATTAACTAGGCAAAATTTGCTTTTATTGAATTACCCCGGACCCATGAAATAGAATTTTGAAAACTGAGATTTACTAATCTTTTAAAAAATATTTCCCGAGCGCTTCTAAGGTAGACAGCAGATAGGAAGCTGAGAATGCAGTGGGATTCGGTAACAGCTGAATTCAAACATTCAGGGCTTCGCTTGCTGCAATTCAAGTAGTGCAGTGTTGAAAAGTTTCAGGGAGTAAAGTTCTTCTTTCTCATTCCTTTCTAGTTGCCTCTTTTCTATCTTTGCAAGAAATAAATGTTGACCAGTGGTACCTAGGTTCATGAACTTAATTCTTTCCACGATTCTGGTCACAAACCAAATTGGACGAGAACAGAATCAAATTTCCCTATAAGGTCAGCGTTGAAGCTAACTGTTGAATTTGATCCGGGTCTCCTGCAATTTGGTTTGGGACTAGAGTCACGGAAAGAATTAAGTTTGTTAACTGAGTTACCACTGTACTTTGCATATATTAAAATATGCACCTGCCAGGCTTGGTGGCGCACACCTGTAATCCCACCACTCAGGGAGCTGAGGCGGGAGCAGCACCATGAATTCAAGGCCAGCCTGGACTATGGAGAGAGTTCATGGTCAGCCTAAACTACACAGCAAGACACTGTCAAAAGAAAAAATGTTACTGTAGCATGTGAATATATATTTATACTTTCATCAGTCTTACTTGTTTATAGAGTAGCATAATATGTCTTTTTTTGGGACAGGGTCTCACTATGTAGTTCAGGGTGACCTTCAACTCACTGTGGAGCCCAGGCTGGCCTCAAATTCACCAGGCTCAGCTCTAGCACACATTTTTATGTACTTTTTTCCCATTTGGATTTTTTTCTGTATTATAGAGATTGTCTTTTTTAAACTATTCATTTTGAAATTTCACTCTTAGAAGGTTGCTGTGAGTGCGTGGTGGCAGATTTCGGAACTGAGAACGCAAGAAGGAGTGGGTCGGGGAGATGCAGTGCTTCCTGCTGGGCCAGGTCCCTGCTGAGTGGCCTCTGACCAGACCCCACCCCTTACAATCACTATAAATCTAAGTCCTTACGGTATGATCTCCCAAAAGCCTCACCTCAGTGTGTGAGGTTTTGGGGGAACATCTACATCCATACCATAACACTTAGTATATACACGTCACTGTATGTTTTCTAAACATAACTGTGTACTTCTATATAACTCATATGATTATCAAAATCAAGAAATTAATCTTCATTCAATGTGAATTTATACATCTCATTCGGATTTCATCAGTTGCCCCACTAATGTCCTTTATAGGCCTGTTCATCCTAGAATTCTTGAAATTTGTTGCCATGATGTTTTAGATTCAATCTGGAAGAGTTCTTTGGTATTTAGTCTTCAATTTGGAAGGGTACTGGAAGTTGAACCTAGGTCCTTCACATTGGTCTACATGCCTACTCCTTTATTAGAATTTTTTAAATTTTGAGACGGACTTGCCACATTGTCTGAGCTGGGCTCAAACTTATGATCCTACTGACACAGCCTCCCAGGGTACTGGGATTACAGGGGAAGGCCCACTATCCCCTACCTTTTTGTCTTTAATCTTGACTCCCTCCCCCACTTTGGTCTTTTTTTTTTTTTTT